TCTGTGAACTTGCTAAACTTCGTCGTGAGTCTTTTGCGGTCAAGTTGTGCGTCTGCCGGCAAGCGGCGTTTGTGAAAATAGCAAATCTGGGCGGGTAAACAAAGTATGAATACCGTTAGCGCATAGATATTATGGCGTAAGAGGTGTACGAGTTACAAAGCACAGAGTCGACTAATAGAAAGGTATGAATAAGCCTAGACATACAGAGATATTTACGCAGCTGTTTGCTAGAAGTGTTTTTCGGTTGCTGTTGCAGTATCGAGGGCATAACGCGAAGGAAAGGAAAGAGCTATGATGGCTGTACTGTCGTGACTATTTTTGAGTCTTCGTTGTGGATCAGTGCGGCTCACTCGGGGCCCGTCGAACTGAGATGATGCCGATCTAGGCCAGATTCAAGGTGTCAACAAAGTTGTATTTAAAATCCAAGAACGTGCGGGGACGCATCAATCTTTCCATGTCGGCGTAATCGGGAAGAAGGAGGTCTTTAATGCTGTCTCTGATTAAACCTACCTCTCTTCCATTGAGTTAGAGTCGCGTTGGCATAGGCAAATTTGTATGACAAAAAGATGAGTGCGCCAAGCTTACGCTAGCGCTAGTTGGACAACTCCGAAAGCGAGCCAAGTTGCCCGATTGACTCTGCAAGAGGACTGTGACTGCTCACGTAATTTATCACGGCTGGAAGCTTGCAGACGAAGAATAGCAATAGACTTGAAGCAAGCGAACAGACTTGTACAGCGGGTTGTATCGATAACGGGGTGAAACGAAACGCAATGAGTGATATAACAAGGGTTCTTTATAAAGAAGAAGCGCCAAAAAATGCAAAGACAAAAAAGAACAAACACCGCGCACGGTGCGCGCAAGGGGAAAGTTAACACGAAAGATCACAAAACAGGAAACTGATTTATGTGATCATCCGAGCGTTTAGCTGTAGTTTCGGAACAAATTGAAGATAAAATCCCAGATTTAACAAGATTTCAGTTCGACAGTTCTTGTACAAGCCATGTTTGCTCAAAGGTCTAGCTCTGACCGCACAAATATTTAATAGAAAAGCATCTGTTTAAAAAATCCGCTTTTTAAGAGTGGCTGATAGCTTTGTCTCAGTAACGTCCGACACAACTCCGTCAACACGAGCTGCTGATTTCACAGCGAGTGCAAAAATTCTTCCGTCGTTCAATACGATGCCATCACATATCATACATCCGCAAGACGTAAAATCGGTATCGACACGCTGTTGTTTTATCGTTTGATCCCGAGCGGTTCCATATTGTCCTTTTTTATCGCGTTCTCTTTTTGTGTGTCGAGTCCTTTCCCCCATCCTTTCAAAGGACATTGCTCCGATTCACATGAAATGTCTGGCAAGCTTTCGCGATTGAAGGAACATTCATTGGAATTAGACTGTTATGAAGGGTGACGGGACGAGCTATCATTTATCAGGTGTCGCTCGTACATAAAAAAAATTTCAAATGCGGTGTTAATTTGCGTCCAATTAACGTCTGTCGTTAAATAGTAAAAACAGGGGTGCAGAATCGGCGAAAGAGGCTCATCCGTGTATCGAAAATTGGATGGTGCTTCCCACTTAGTCTAGGAAAATCCGACAGGAAAACTGGGGTAGATATGTGCTAGCTCGAAACGAGCAGGCTTGGGTTTTAAGAGCCGTTGGAGTGATCGAACAGATCAAAGGTCTGTCCATGCGAGGGAAAAGTGTTAACTAAGTACCGGCAGTTAGTATAAACGAAGCCCTCACTAACTAATGCGTGTATAGGCGCAGGAACAGCAATAGTCATATTGTAACAGTTGAACGAATGTGAGCTAAAGTTGGACTAAATCTCTGATCGAATTGAATGTTTGATTAGGAAAAGCGCCTATTGAGTTGAAAACACTGGAACAGTTAGTACGGTACGGTTTTTTCTTGTGAGTGCATCTCTGATCCCAGTGACAGGGTCTCTCTAAATGATATACTCGCACAATGGCGATTTGCTTTAATAGTTATATCGTTCTATTTTTATCTTGTCACTGTCGAATAATTTGATTAAAAATATGACAGTATAGATTGACGATAGTTTTGACCCCTTCGCCCAATACGACTCACGTTCAACGTTCGCTGTTAACCATAGGCAGGACTTCAGTCACTGAACGATACAGTATAAGTTAGACTGAAATGTTCCACGAAACATAACTTAGTTTTTGATAACACATACATAACTTAGTGTTTGAGCATCATTGAAATAATCTTATACCAAAACACGCTTGTGCTCCACATGCTTAAAGTGTCCGTACATAAGTTCATACATGCCGCGCAGAAAAACTATATATATATATATATATATATATGGATAGCCATCGTTCATAATGGCGTAGATTCGAGCGTAGTATACAGGTTGCGTCGGTCCATTTAAACACAGTACGCATGTGTTTATCTGTCCGAACCTTTTAACCTTTCCCCTGCCTGTAATGTATTACCACTTCGATCAGGTTGCCCAGTGTTTCCAAAAAGCTCACGTCTAGAATTTTTCGTGACGGCGAAACTCTTCCATCGAAAAGCTAGCAACGAATGCAGTAAATATTGATATGTATGTAAAAAGTATGTATTATTCTTGGATGTACAATTAATTAGAACTCTAATCACTCGTAAAAAATGTTTTATATCCTGTCATAACGAAGTGTCGCATTTTATGGTGGTTGAGTTTAGGCAACATAAATTCTGGGTCCGAGATGTTTTCTATTATGGAAGTGCTTTAGGATGTTAAATGAAGGCTGATCTGATAAATAAGAAAAATATCCCGTGCAATGAGAAAATGTACACGATTTCCACGAACGAACGATAAGTACCCTCACTGATTTATTTCTGTGCACTTATAATTCTTGTCTCGATAAATAACCTAAATTCTCACCTGATTTTTATCCTCATCATCGTACGACCTTTATTTAAGAAAAAAAAATAACAATAAATCACAGTATCTGTTATTATTCAAGTACACCATTTGATAAACGGCTAATCCTTTACCTATACAAAAATAGTAAGGCTGGTACCAGAAAAAGTGTTAATTCACAAAGATCTAACCTATATGTATCCTAGTTTTCTTTCACCAAACGCGTTCATTATTTACAAAACACACTATTAGTACTTACGTCCTAAGACGAATTACAATTTTTTTTAATCAAATCTAAACATTTCCTGGCGAAGTTTGTATTTACGTAACGACTGCTATTACGTTTCCGTTCATCTGCCAGTAAAGTTGTAGTTTTTGCCTTCTTCTGCCGGAAACCGTTGAACCTTGCCTTTTTGTTGCGTGGCTGATTCGTAGATTCAATTTAAATATACACTGTGATCAGCTTCAGAATTAAAAGTTCCATGCAAGCTCATAGCAACAAAGGCGGCCATCATTGTGATACACTAACCCTGGTTATGAAGATAACGTTTGCGTCATCCACTGCCTCTCAATATCGAATGAAAAAATCTAAGTAGCTTTAAAAGCTTACAATCCTGTTGTGTATTTACGCCTGTAAATATATAGAAAATATTACTTTTGGGCCATTTTCAATCAATTTTATCTACCTCAAATTTAAACAGCTTACCGTACTAAACGAAATTTCATATACATAGTGTTTTTATAGACCAATATACAAAATAGGGTGCACGAGATATGTTCTGATTTTTGTGTTGAAACCCTATTATATATTGGCTTTTCCGAGTGAAATTTAATTTATATTGTCACCATTCATAGAGAAAAAGTTCACCCTAAACAACCCTGAATATAATGCCTATATATATATATATATATATATATAGAGCTTATTTAGACGTTATTTAGGCTTCCGACAGGCCTAATAAAATTATGACTAGTTCAGCGAACTAGGTTGAAAGATTGTTACGTAGGTGCACCTATGTAATTCTTTATAGGTGTCTAAATGGCGATTTTATATATATACTCGTACAAAGCATTATGGCATAAACTTCTGCAACATAAACAGGCTTCTACATTGCTCGAATAAGCTTCATCATTTCGTGGTATTTGATTCATGTTCTTCTAGATCAAAATACAGTCGAACTCGGAGCCCGTTAACGAAGTCATTTCGACCATTCGTTCGGACGTCAGACATCAGCCGCAACGTCAGTTTGCTGCTAGAAGGACTTCTTGGTGGCTACGACAAACGAAATCGACCAAAGGGTAGTGGTCCTGGAGGAAAAGGTCCAACGATCGTAGGCGCTGACATTCTCATCCGCAGCATGGGTCCTATCAGTGAGCTCGATATGGCATGTGTTGTATTTGTATTTAAGTATAATGTATATTATTATAGGTAGAGGCGCAAATTAGCAAGCTGATCTAAAATTTGAATAACTAGTTTCAATTTTCGCCAGACTTGAAACAAAAAAAAGCTTGGTAAATTTTTCCTTTTGAAATTTTGCCATCGAAGAACCTCACAGATAACGAAATAAACGAATGATCACTTGATGTTGTTTCTTTAAATTAAGTTTGATAATAAAGGACACTGTCTGTATTCAAGGGAGACAGGTGCTTTTTGTAGCTAGAAACTTAACCCATATCCGTTATGTCTTCAATCTATTCATTATGACTTCAAGTTATTACTAACATCCATAAATAATCACTGCTATAATCTTTCAGCTCTTATATTTTACGTGTGCATTATGCCATTTTTCTTCCTTCGGATGTTCTTGGTTGGTTATTAACGCCTTTACTCGGGATTCCGCCGCTTTTTGAGGACTTTCAATAGATCAATCAGAAGGGAGACGCCAGATGAATGACTTGAGCGCGTTGTGAAAAACCTCATGAAACAGCCCTGCTGGGATAGGCTGTCGACATGAGGTTGAATTCTCAGTAATTTTTTTGTTGAGTTTGATTTTAGACTTTACGTTAGCAGCGATTATTTATAAAATGCTGTTATATCGAAGAGCTACACCGTAGTCGCCTATTGACTGTATTATTCAAGAATTCTTACAGTGTAGATGCAGCTGAGCACCGGAGCAGAAGAAAGCGGTTTTTAAGCGCATCAAGAAGACGAGCACGCATCCGACGTTTATTTTTGCGGTAGGCTCCATAAAATGACCAATAAAGTTTTCACTAGAATGGACCTCTTAAAATTACCAGCAGATCAGGACTATTACAACAAGAAAACGAGCTCATAGTTAGCGTTGACAACAATACACACATTGTAAGAATTATAAAATTAGTATTTAGGATCTTATATGAAGAACCACCATAGTGTATCACAGGCGAAATGACTTGCTCCTTTGGACGGACCAAAAACTCTTTATTATTCATTGCGAAGTTTCGAATATATTGGACGTTACATATACATTTACGGATCTAAAGAGGCGTCTACGGCTACATAAACGCGATCCTTACTCAATAACTGATCAGTCATAAGTGCAAATCGGTGCAAAATTTAGTACAAAGTTTATTTTGCCATTTGCTTACGCCAGTTTTCTCCTGTAGCTTGCACGCTATTCCAATGTAACCTGGTCGTTAAGCCGCCTTTCACTGTTAACCCTAATATAGCCCCTGGACGTGGGAGTCCTCACTTACCTACGTAGCTTGCCGGCCAGGGTCCCTTGATATGGTGTTAACGGCAGTAAGAGTAATCGTTGCTAGTCTACGATAAGTCACTCATCTGCAATTATCTTCACCTGTTCTGTTTAGCTTTGTCTTATTCTATCTCCATTTCTCTACATTATTTGGCCTTCACAGATCACCCCCTTGGTCTACACGTTCCATTTCTCTCTCACTGCTTCTTGCTCTAGTTGCTGTACTAGTATGCAGCTGGGATTACTACAATACGTAGTACGGCGATCTAGTTCAAAGGCATCAAGGGATTGACATTCAATCAGAAGTAAGCGATGACCTGCTTGGTAGTCGAGTAAACCTTTTTTTCAGCGGGCGGGCAGCGATCAACGATGTGGCCCAATCAACAAGACCCGGTGGATATCAGAAGACTCGTGCGAGCACTAGTAGTTTCATGATGCTTAAGCGTTGACCAAAAATCACTTCCTTTGCTCGCGACCGCCTATTCCCAGCACAACAACTAGTACTGTTGTTATCGTTGCTACTCGCGTCGGCAGCATGGGACCGATTTGGCAACAGCCAGCGACGTCGTCTACCCCCCACCACCGTGGTCGTAAATCTTCTTTCATTTGCTTTTACGGTAATATCCTAAGCCGACCACTTCTGCCGATCGGATCCTTGTCAACGTCACTGCCTTGTTTTCCAGTGGCGTTATTTTTCCTTCGCATAGCTGGGGTTGTTGTCTCGGATATGAGAACATAGTCAGTCGAAGTTCATTGTTTGTGCTCAATCTTATTCGAGACCAGCTGCTGAGTAGCAGAGATCAATCGGTCCGATCCGAGATTCAACCCGTTTAGCTCGCTATCAAACGCTGTCGCCTACCCCAGGAGAATCTATTCTCATTAAATGCATCTGGATTCTGTACTATCAATTTTCTGTTTCTTGATACCTATGTATATGCGTTTGAGAAGCGAGTATGTGGGTGAAACAAGTATCGCATGGTTTTCGCACGCAGTACCTGCTAGGCTTGTTATGACTGCCATGAGAGAACTAATTTATTTATAAACCACATGACGATTCTGATAACGACCCCAGCAATCATCAACCTGTAAGTGCATATTATTTAGTCCTGCATAGATTAATCAAGTTTACTTGGTAACCGTTTTCTTTTCGTACGTGAAGGGCTTTTCCGCTTGTTTTAGCCTCCCGCACACGGAAATAAACCTTGAAACTCTTCGGCATTTTTGTTCATCAAAAGTACGGATTACAAGATTAGCTTTCAAAAGTGTCCATTTAACATCGAAGGAGATTTGATTGAAACTTAGCTCTCTGTATTCATAAAACCATACTGATTTGCCAGATAATATTACCTCGCGTCAGAAATGTGTTAAAGTCTGTTTTGATTTTTTATATGTTATAGTCACTTCTGCGCATATTTGCGACCGAGTCATAAAAAGGCCGATATTTAAAAAATTCGGTTTGTTTATAATTTAATCACCTATCAAGTCAGCTGAGCAAGACATTCGTAGTAAACGTGAATGTTTACTTATCAGATAAACAGGACGATCTAACAACACCTATGAGGTAGCAAGCTTGAAAAAGTAGGGGAAGGCATAGAAATCCTGTAACCAAGACTTCAACAATTTTCTGGCCTTCGGTTTGTACATTTTATTCATTCTTCAATATCAAGCATTAATAATAATTGACGAGATGTTCAGCTGGTTGATCCACGTACGCGGGACATATGATTGACGGGATCTACTTGGGAAGTTGTCAGTACTATCTACTTTTTACATTAAAATAGGCTCATAACAGGAATGGACACATAAACAAGTGTGAAAAGAAAATGTGATCGTTCTAATAGACTGTTCGAAACATAGAGCGTATGCTTTACCATAAATATTGCAATGGCCCAGCACAAGCGTTCGTTTGATTTCGCCTAAATCATATATATCATGCTGGGGACATTGCCTACTAAATTATTGACGCTATTTCATTCGCTATTACATAATTGTCCTATTACAATAGTTAGAGTGCTCAGTCAAGCCGTACGCTGCAGCTTGATCGCAGTTCTCAGTCTTCCACGTAATGTACGTTTTACTATCCAATCAATACATGGTGACCAGCTATAGCTGATTTTCAATCTTCAGTACTGCAAGGGGCTTACGCAGTAAGTTGCTCGTGCACGTGCGTGACAGTTAGCTACATCTCAAACATTTAAGATCGTTATAATAGAATAGAATAGAAAGACGATTCGCTAACGGGACCAAATTTTCGTCGGGTTTCGGTGGCAGGCTCAAGCGTTCGCCAGATAGTTTACTTCTTGTCCAGCTGCCAGGACTTATGGCCATACAAATAAGTGGATTACTGGACTAAAGGAAGCCACGAAGCGCAGAATGTCACACTCCATCATTTGCGCTGACTTCGAAGAGCGAACATCTGTCGTAGTTCACTATTGCAATTTATGCGTGCTACAATTATGGAGTCCAATCTATTCAAAATAGGCTTCCATATACGCGAATCCCTTGCACTTTTCCATTGGTTTGCTATGGTTCCTAGCTCCATTGGTTAATACGATCCGAGCAAATTTCCAGTAGAAAGGTAGAACTGGTGGTGGCGGCGGATATAGAGCATTAGAGAAAGAAAAAAACGAAATAAGCCGAAAACCTTTGCCTACTAAAGTACAACTGTCTATTCAACGCAGCCGAACGTGTCAACGATTAACTTAACCAAGGTATAGATGGAGAACGATAGAACAGCTCGTTATTCCTAAAACTAACATGAAATTGAAGTTAATCGGTACGCAAAATGATCCATATAGACATATAATTGATTAAAATATCCATCCTGGCGTAGCAATACTCGTTTATGCGTTTACATGTAAAATATAGTGATAGCTTATTCTTTTCTTCACGCTTAATGTAATCAAATTAACATAATTCGAGTAAAATTATAGCTATGATAACGGTTCGAAGAGGAATGGAATATACTAGTAGATCATTATTCACTTGTACGTTTCCAATAGTGCTATCCTACGAGATTTTGAAGGGGCTACGGTTTTTCAACATGCCATAAATTCAGTCAGCTTGTTAAAAATGTTTATTTTTATATGCTACGTGCATGATTTAGTAGACGGCGCTATTGGCCGACTAATCGAAACAGAATAACTCCCTGAATTTATCTTGCAAAGCTTGGGGCCGTACCTCAAATAATTAAAAGGTTCAGGAAAATGGAAGGCTTCTGGCAAATTTGTAATGCCATAGCTAAGAGGATCCTGAATCGCTTCGTTTTTGTTTTTTTTTGGAATAAAATACAGGATAAGTATCCAATCTGTAAAATAGTTCATTGCGTCGTCTAGACACGAGATAGAGCGTCTTGACTTAATAAGATGCTGCTCAGTCTAGCGACATCCTCCGATAGAAAAAGTATTATTCGTTGGCGCTACGAGTTCTGCACGGCGGGGCTCTATAGGCTTGCCTTAAAAAAATATCATTGCCTTAATGAATTTTTCCCAGATATTTATTAGAATACAAAGCACAGACTATTTATCGCCCTCTTCGAAATGCATATTTTAGAAGGCTATCTGTCATAAATATTCTATTTATCATTGAATTAAACAACCTGGTAGCCACTGTGATACTAGGTAAGTTAAGTTCAGAGTATTCTTTTTCAGTGAACCTGAAACTAAGACTAAGATAATTATATATCCACTGTTTTCTTGATGAACTTGATTCATATGTCTTTATACAGGAATACTCTATGGATTGTTACTTTCGCCAAAAATGGAAGGATGAACGATTGAAATTCAATCGATTTGCCACTCAATCGAAGCAGGACGTGGCTAATATCTCACTTTCGATCAAAATGCTCGACAAAATCTGGAAGCCTGATACTTACTTTTTGAATGGTACGTCTTTTCCTCTACACGCGTTATTTGTCTAGGATACACGTATACTACAAATCAACGTTTTTCTCCAAATTGCTCTATTTGTCAAAACAGCGCCCTATTGACTAATAAGCTTGTGTGGAACAAAACGAGTCAATACGCTCATTTTTCGACATTTCTAAAAGCCGACGGTGTCAAATCAGCCGGGCCAACGACCGGAGATAAAGGAAAACTGTCGAATGTGTCAAATAGTAAAATACTAGGATAATTCGTTTTGGATATTATTACACTTACTGAATATACGTATATCACCTGGCGCTTTATGAGAATTCGAAAATATATAGAGTGATGCCATTCTGGACTCGCGATGGAAAAATGAGCAACGTTCACTCAAACTAGGTATCAAGTCTTCAGCGAAATATGGATGTTGAAATAAGTTAGTCCTTTGTGGAAACTATAAAGAACATATAACTTGCAGCAGCGTTAGCAAATGTCGTCGTTCTGGCACCCTAGTGTAACCCATGAAACGGACCCATTATTTTTCAACGTATACAATCTACCAATAAATCGTAAAAAAAAAAAAAAAAAAAAGTAAATAATAATGACCTAACGTTCTATCTCATTTACATAAGAACCTTCCTTTGCCACTAATCCTGCTGTGGCCTTTTGAGGGCTCAGTGATGGGTTATTAAACGTAAACCCGAATGTGACGAAAGACTGTTTAAATATTTCGTTGATTATCGCATTGAACGCTATCTAGTGGGCCTTAGTTTTTCGAGTTTCGAGTCCTGTACGGCCGTCAAGCGTTCCATTAGGTTACCCACTAAGCTGTCACCTTGTGTCACCAATAAGAGCCAGTATTATGTTTTCAATGCCTGATGCACGCAAATATGCGCGTTCATCTTTGTCTGAAATGATTTTTTAAAATCCATTGTACATGATACTATTTACACGACGCTGAAAATAAGTGAACCAAACAAAGATTTTCGCCTAACAAACACTAGCTATACGTCAGCTTGCTTCTCCACGCCTCTTAACGACGCCATCCTAAGGCGTTACATTTCGTTACCTACGGTTTCGCCATTCTAGGAAGGTGTCTATAGGTTATGCTTGTCATATATTTATTATATCTTGCTATATTGTGAATAGTCATTGGCCAGAAACGATCCTTGATAGAAGAAAATAGACTTTGATACAACCTATATCATACATCCCCGCTCCAGAAAATAAAACAGTTTAACGTACGGATAAAATGACGCAATTTACGTAATTCCTGTGATAGTCAACGCTTTCCAACCTTCTAATATTATAGTTGCGTGCAAATGGATTCTAAGAGAACTCTAGATGGGATCTCGCTGTGTTGCTGGCAGGATCTTTGTTAAAACTTTGTCAACGGCGGATGCTTATACGGAGCAGGCTAGGAGATAGACCTTAAAATAGCATTTTATAAATTATTAATATTAAAATGTCTAAAGGGAATATCTGTATTCCAGAGAAGCTATAATAGATTGAAGTTCAAAAAAGCAAAAGATTAAGACTTCCCTATCCGTCATCGCTTCAGGATTAATCAGATAAATATTTTTTGATTAATTTTTTGATTCTAACTACTTTACCTTGCACCTTTTTTTCTATTAGCTAGAAGTCTATGCGCTAATTACTGATGCCATTTTTTCATGTATACTGCTACGGTCTCTCATTGGCATCTGGTAAGTAGTCAATGATGTTTACCATTTTCCATACTGACATTTTGCTACCTACAGTGGTAAGTGATATTGTGTCCATAAAACGTGGCTGTAGTAGATGTCAGCATCTGTTGACAGCTTTGTAATGTTTTGAATTTTACGTCCGGCATCGCCGTTAGGAACATCTTCAAATGAATGGCTGCTTTCCAGCACGAAACGAACCGTGTGCCTATGTTCGGATTCGAATCTAGGCCACAACGTGTCCTTAACCTCAGCATGCAAATACATCACTCACTAAACTATCGCGGGGACGCCAAGTTGACCACTCCGCCAGCAGCTAACACGACGCCAATATAGCGGAAGAAATTAAACACACACGAAACTATACACAGCTACAGGGTAGGCAGTAATTTTCCGCCGATGATTTTCTCTAAATGAAGTTTCCGCTTGCGCCAGTTTCCTTGGGACTGTTTCTGATCCATTTGCTATCACATCAGTCGGACAACGCTGTCTGCATTTTGTTCTACCGTCTCCCTAAGTCATCGGCAGCTGAAATGTTTTTTTGCCTCCAACAGTTCTCTAGGTGTAACCACCAACCCGATCCACAGGCTTCTGCTCTAGTCCGGGTCTAGTTCGAAACGTAGACTCATTCGTGGTTTTGTATATCCACGAGCAAAAAGGCTACGCCCGAACTGGGCCAGCTAGATCAGCTCATTTGCCCGAGGATTCAACATGCAATGTACTTGCTTCCCTTCCGCTTTCGATATAGTATGGTCCAGAAAACATTACCCATAGATTTACAATATGACAGGGTTTCTTTCGCTTCATTGCGTTGTTGGCAGCCGGAAGTCTGTGCTGCAGCAGCGGAGAAAGAGGATCGGGTGTCCACGAATGCATCCGATACTACATCAATATTTGACGGTCGATCTGTATCGGTAGAACATATGCTCGCAGACACATTTGATAGTCAGTAAAATTGTGGTGTAATAACACAGACGTAGGGGACATGTCATTTGTATCAGACGTCTTTCTGTTCACGAACGTAGATTTTACCGATGATTGCATGAGTCTAGACATCGAAGCACCGCTCAGAAAATGCAAAACAGGAAGCGGTCAGTCCTGTTTATCATGCATGTCTGCTTTAACTGTTCTATTTTTCACCATACATATTTTAACTTCGACTTCCCCTGATACTGAATCAAGTTCCGTCAGATATGGACGGTAATAAGTGGTAAACCGCGCACTAAAAAAGAAAAACAGATATGCACTAGATACGATAATTTATATAATTATGTCAAGCTGAGAGGATCTATCACTCATAAATAATAAACGCTAGCGGATACGCTTTGGGCAACGTATTCCTATGTTCAAGTCTGAATCATGTCATGAATGTCGTTAAACGCAAATCCAAAAAAAAAACGTCAGGATCCTAAAGGCGGCTAAAAAACCTGAACTCAGTGCGCTTACAATTGAAAGAATCATGTTCCATTTTGGTGTTATGTACTGTTGTTTTTGGCACAGCCAGTGATTCGAGCCGAATCATAGTACTACCGTATAACAAACATGTCAGACACACTCGAACCCTGAAAATGTTTTCACCCTCGCCAGCGGGGAAAAAAAACGTATTCCACTTACGCACGTTTATTTCCACATAGTAAAATGTATATATACGATTTATCAATTGTGCATGACAACAGGAAAAATCCATCTCATGTGTTTCAACCCGTTACAGGCAAGGGGTCATACCTTCACACGATCACTCAACCAAACAAACTACTACGAATTAGCCACAATGGCGACGTCCTCTACTCAATGAGGTAACTTTGCGGGGAAAAAACAGCGTATCAACTTTTTATTTTTGCTTTAGGTAGTGACGTGCCAAATCAAACAGTGCTATCAAGAGATCATTACAGACCGAATAGAAAAATGGCGTTTTTTTTAGAATTTCAATCACCTTGTTTACATATTAAATAAAAAAAAAGTTATTTAACAAACTCCCAGGAAACGTATCTCTGTTACATGTATTGGTTGTGTTATTCTAATACGAGCGCTATATCTAGTTACGTCTAGCACGCTTGTTATACATGAAAGCAGCATCTTGAGAAAGAAATATATGTTTGATAAACCTATTTTACTTCTTTTTACCGTATTACTATATAATTAAGAAAGTATGCTTGAGACGGGACGATTAATGTGTAGAAACACTTATTATCTGTTTGTTACAGACTAACTATAAAGGCGAAGTGTCCCATGAAGCTCGAAAGCTTCCCGATGGACCGCCAATCATGTCCACTTTGGTTCGGAAGCTGTACGTAAAACTGATTAATTATGCTTAGAACGACAGCATGCTAGGTAGGACCGCAGTGTGTCTGATCTTAAAGTACGTAGAGTGGTTAGCAGTTTATTATTCATTTATAGATGCTGTATAGAATATCGTTAGAAAGTAGTGTACATCATAGATCTCTGCGAGCATACGTACCCAAACATAACATTATTTAGGTAAGGAATATTAGATCGTGCAGGGCTTGCCCGTTCAGAATGAATCTTCATATTTCCAAAGCGGGCGAAAAGGACCTAACTAATCGAGTTATTCCGATGAAGTCGGAAAATCTCTTCTACTTTGGTAGATATACAGCCGCTTTTGTCTGTTTGATTATTTCTGCTGCCTTCAAGTATACTAGGAAGACGGTAACGGCGGCGCTGATGAGTAAATGGGCTTAGAAGGAAAAAATGCCTCGAATTTGATAGAATTAGCGCGCTTACAGCTGATCTAATCCCGTATTTATTTCTCTAGAAAGCATAAGTGTTCTGTGTGTCAAAAGCTAGCTAATAGAGGATTTGGAAAAAAACTAACAAGCCACGTTGACATTCCGAGAGAAGAGAATCGTTCCGTAAACTCCTGACAAATGACTGTGAAAAGCGAGAATTAAAGAGTTCATAGTCAGATTTCAGCGCTTGGGAACAAACATCACCCAGATAAGCCCAATAGTAGACTACGTTTAGTAAAAACATTGCCTATAAAATTAGTCCTATAAAAAGCAGCACGCCTAAAAAAAGATCGACAGTTTGAGAAAGATCTGTGTGGTTCTACGAAGTGAAGAAGAACTGATTAGCAGAACCAATGAAGGTAGGGCAGTCAATGTCCGTAGAAGAAGTCGCGTCGAGCACGGCAATTGAGATGGTGATAACAACTGGGTTGTGTCTTAACGCAGTACAAAGCTAACGTAGCTACAAAGAAACAGCGTCTTTAGCAGAGCTGACAGAAGGCGTGTGGCAACCTATTGGGAGCGTTTCTTATATCTTACTAGAATGTACCATGCGTTTCTCGTGCGGCTTCTGTCCAAAAGCCAGGCTCTGATTGAAGTGCTCATTGGCTACAAGGCGCGTAAAAACTTTAAGTGGGCTGAAAAGGCTATACTGAAGAGCATTCACAGACAGCACGAAGTGCATCGAGAAAGCTTCTAAATCAGTGACAAATAAGCGGTGATCGATTTTACAGCTTAATGGCCGTGTTATGGTTACTTCGTAAGTTATCTGGATTCATCCACCATCTGATCTATGTTCTACACACATGGAATAAAAGGTGATGATGATACATAAGTCGGAAAGCACGCTACGTGCCTCATTAACAAACACCGCTGGGACCTCGTTTTTGAAGCATAAGATGTTAGCGGCTTTCCTTAGCCGCGACGTCACAGATTTCAAAACAAAACGTATAATAAGACCCCTTTTATATATGCGTTGTTTGGTAAAAATAACGCGTGTATAAAAGGAGACCGAGACGAATGCAAATACAATAACAAAGTTAGTCACTAAGTAACTTACTATCTCGGTGGCAAGGGTAACGATGAATTTGGTTGCGTTTAAAGGAAGATCGGATGTGCGATGCGATTGGATATAAAGATATGATCTTTATCTGGCCACAACCTAAACAATAGTTCGTTCTTTAGGCCGTAAAATCCAACCATATTCATCGCTACTCTTACCGCCGAGATAGCAAGTTATCTGGTGACAAACTTTGTTGTTGCATTTGCATTTGGATTCGTCTTTTTTGTATGTGTATTGTTTTTCAAAAGCCTTATTGTATGTGGTATAGTTTACGGCGACTTAGGTTTTGTTGGAAGTCTGTGACATCGCAGCTAAAGAACGCTGATATTTTGGCGATCGAAAGGCGAGTCTGGCGAGGCTGTAAAATAGATGAAAAGAAAAGTAAAAAATTTTAACTAAACTTTTGTTTTCTGTCATTTTTTTTCTTCACCAGATGCCTATCCTGAAGAACAAATTCGCTTTGAGTGGATCAACGTAGAATTCGTGAAGGGCATGGTTCTCTCACAATATGATCTTATTGAAATTCCAAAGAACAACGTGTCACACAGGGTTAACAGCGGTAAGTAGGACGTCCATGGAGCAATTAGTTGGCCTGCTGAGGAAGCCTATCTTCTCTAGCTGGTATCTTCTCAAAAAATTAGCTATTATGCACATACGACTAAATAATATGATTAAATAACAACTACTGTATACACCTTCAACGCGTAAAGCTTGTATAGCAAATTCAATAAAATGTTGACACATTTAGTTCTTAACTTCTCTCTATATTCCGATCTTTTATACTACGACGGTAACTTCTATTTCCATTAGATGTACAAACTCGCCCTGAGTTTGTACAACAAGCTTGCGTTTACCTGAAAGCGACGGTCGCCCGCTCTACCGCTATCCATATAACAATTTAAACAAGTGCCGAAATGATGATGTTAAAAATGTAGGTAAGTTCTATTGAATTTGTAACGCGCAACACACTTAGATACGAGGAGGAGCCATCGACAGATTCAACATTCGAATAAATGCTACACAAACGTTTAAATCTAAACGTAACTTAACTGTGTTAACAGCTCGGGGAATTTATGATGAAACTTGAATTATATATATATATATATATATATATATATATATATATATCTATATATATATATACATGTGTATGGCGAAATATCTAATATATAACTTCGGAACCCTTTCTATAACCGTAACTTGACAAAAATATATATATTATTAAATTATTTGTGTGTACTAGAAATGTTGTACTTGTTCAGTATAAGCACCACTCATAGCAAGTGCATGCCTTCTTCCTAATGATTTTTAATATATTCCATTATTAATCCGCAAGTAATTTTCAATAGTGATCGAGATTTCAGGCGACAGCGTCGCCTAAGTGTGCTATACACAAAAGAGGTTCCAAGGAGATTCTGTTTTGGGCTGACAGTAAGCTGGCAAAGTCTTTAGCCCTGTAGAAACTCATAATGGCCAAAAAGTTTAGATAGTGACGAAGTGCAAAAAAACATAAAAAGCCTAACCGCTAGAACTTATCTAGATGACCCAGTTGGCCTCTGGGTCCTCCAAAACCACCGTTAATTTCTCTACGAAAAACACAGCTGTGTCAAAAATATCTTTCGCCACCTGAACGATTTTGGTAAATATTTCAGTCCTTGAAATTCAACATATATCGAACACTTTCCGATTTGTCTCATAAAAAATCTTCTAGAATTTCTCAGAAACTGCCTTGAAGTTCGTAATAACGTAGACCGTCGACTTAAACCAAAAAATAAAGTGTTCACCTTTGGTGACATTTCGCCCAGGACAAAAAAGTTAAAGAATAGTCGATTTTCACCGAGATAGTGAAAAGGACGCGGTTTTCCTTCATCATATTTTTGTTCTAAAATGCATAGCCTTGCCTCTAATACTAAGAATAAATAATCGACACATGCTCTCTATGGTAAACAGCCCGCCAAAGTTCTAACCCAGTCCAAATAAATATAGAATGATATTTTTTTTTATAATGGTTCTATTCTCCATTCTTTTGAGCGACTTTCGGTATATTGCTTCTACTGCTCATGCTTCTTAAGCGATTCAGTCGGCTGAAGAGCATCATACATCCACAGGGGGACCAAACTGAAATTTCAACAACAGTATACATTTTTGCGTCCGTTGCACTCGTCGAGCGAGATGCGTCTATGCGGTGCCGATCCTTTCTAGGTTTCCTTTTTAAGTTAGCGGTGATAGACTGCTGTAATCGATTAGTGTATTCCGCGATTTGCTTCTCGATGCTCCATTCAAATTCAAGCCTAGACAGCAGCTTTCGGGACGTGTCGAACTGTTGGCAAGGTGCTGCGTTAGACAACCGGCTTGATACGTCGAGACGATCGACACGACGGAAGTAACGTTTCAGAGACTTGTCTTTGCCAGAAAACAGAACATCAACTGCCCTTCGAAACTGAGGCACAATGAGACCGTGTTGTTGGAGTAACCATGAGGCTCGTCGGGCCATACCGCTAAAACAGCTCGGACGAAGTTGCGCATGGTTATCGTTGTGTTCACGGTAAAGGTGATCGTTGAAGCACTGCGGAAACGCTTTTTGCATTGCACAAAATTGCGCTTTTAGCAACTGCGCAGAGTGCCGCTTTATAGTCGTCTGAATCGTCCGCTCCAACAACCCGTTCACTTGCAGGTGGTTTTTAGGCAGTCCTTAGGGTGGTTGGGCTCGTTGATGCTCAGCAGCAGCCCCTGACCGTCGCAGTGGAAGTCAAGCTAAAGGTCGGTAGAAGTAAAATGGATATGTTTGCTTATTGACAAAATAATGCACAGCGTTATTTCAATGAGGCTTTCTCTGAAGTGTATTCTTGTGATCAGTAAACAGCGCGGGATGTCCCAACCCTAGGCGACAGTTTAGGTTAAAGGGCTCTGCACTCGTCCTCCATGGGTACGTTCGTAAAGTTGTACAGCGCAGTGACATCGATTCCTCAAAGTATGTGTGACTTCCTGGTAACTGATCTCGAAGAGCTGCCTAAGGGTTGTATGATTACACAACCTCGACGGATCGCGCCGCCGCAATGGGGGTATAGCTCCAAGTAAATATAACAAATGCTTGACGACGGCATAATATAGTTTTACTCGGGCTTCTGGGCCTTGCCTGTTGTCCTTATAAAAACAAGGGCAGATTGATTCTGTGTTGTATAAAATATCGGCAGTTGAACGCAACGACGAAAAGAGAAGCCTTCTTCCTTCTATAAATCAACGACGCCATTGATGCATTCGGGGAAGCTTGAATATTTTCTAATCGAGATCTGGCAAGCACTTACTGGCAGACACTTACGACGCCCAATTATAAGGAGGAAAAAGCACTTTACGCTCTAGATGTATTGTATCAAGGCAAGTGGATGCCCTTCAATTTTGTTTAATACTTCAATGATATTCCACTGGGTGAAATGCAGTATTAAATGGCTTTGATTCATACAGGTAATAATGTATTTTCCAAAACATTTGGACTACCTTCGACACGTGCCTTACGCTTTCAGCATTGCGTACCTCAAGACGTTAAAATGCTCGTTTGCTGTGTAAGACACTGTATATTTTGGGGATCTTTGTGCAAAGCACCTCTTCAACCCAGAAAAGACAGTCGTTATAAATGCCGTTGAGCCCATGTCGACCTTCCACCAGCTGCGAAGCTTTTTGGGACTAGTGTCGGTCTGTGCGAGGCTACGTCGGATTCACTAAGCCGCTGTACAACTTGTTGAAAACGAACCCTCAGTTCTCTCAGGCCTTCCCTCATCAAAAGGCGTTTCTGAATGTGAAAAAGGCTCGCACAGGCAGGCCAGTTTTACCGCACGTTTAAGAGAGCACAACTGAAGCACACACGAATGCAAGCAGCCCTAGGTTAGGCGCGGTTCTTTTCCAATACAAGGGAAATGAAGGGCTCATGCTGGCGTATACGAGTAAGCGACTCTTAGTCCAGGAGGCAAAAATGAATTCGCGAGATATCGGAAGTTTGTTTGGCGTTTGGGCAATAAAGAAATTCCGCTCGTGTCTGCATGGGTGGTGACCTGCAAACTAGGGAAAACCTCTGCAAAATTTGCCCGATGGGTCTTGAAATGGTTGCACGAAAATTTCTAGCGACTAACAATTTCTAGCAAGAACTAGCACGACGAATCGCAACGTCGACGTCCTGTCGTGTACATACTATAACGTTACCGTGTAAGACTACGAGCCACTGCGCTTACTCTGCGTTTAATTACAACGTACCAACAGGTAAGCCTGTACTAGACTCAGGTGGAACCACCCTTCAAAAAGACGACCATGTTGCTTTATCATCAAAGAACCGTATAGTGGCCAAGTGCCCACTGCATAGAGTTACGCTCTAGGATTCCGAATCGCACGGTCTCCAACCGATCTTCCCACTCTCGGTCGAGCCAGCAATATCCGCCATTTTCCACCAAGGGTGTCCGAACCTAACAAAGAGCACTTACCGAATGGTATCTTGCTACTTTCCTGAATGCGGAGAACGGTCGAGCGTTGGACAGACGATCACAGTTCCGATGTCTGCCAAAGACTGAGAAAAACCGTGGACATCGGTTGCTCTAAACACCTGCGGATTTGCCCACACGGCCTTTCGCCAAAATGGGCTTAGATTGTATAACACTGCGCATCCTAAACGTGCTCCGTTTTCGCTCTAATGAGCAACTGCTGCACCTGTTTCATCCGCCTTTTCACAGCTCCTCGAACCATAGTCCGAGTCGTACAAAAAGAACTATCTGCCCTTCAAAATCACTATAAGATCGTAAACATTTTTGTCGTAAACAACACGCTCGGCACATGATTGACAGTATCCCAAGCGAGGCTTTAGGCGTAGCTTCATTTGAGTTGCTTCATGGGTTCAAAGTCGTTCCGTTCGGTGATACGTCGGGTTCGTTTTGCGACGAAATCTGTGAAAGTCATAAACTTCCCTATTTTCTAGATGTTAAACCGAAGAATAGTGTATTTTGTAGTCAAGCCCATCCATCAGGTCTTGTTTAATTTCGATGAGATTCTCGGAGGAATATCCTTTTGCTCCTACATTGAAAAAATCGACCTCGCCCGAGGAAAATGTTTGTTCAGTTACTGTTTAAAGGTTCCCGCTCCCGCCGCGGACACGATTTCCAGATTGTACCACACCATAGGGTAGTTACGTAAGTAACTCGACTTGTTCGTGCGCTTACTGCTAGTGTTCCGCCAGATGCGCCGTTTCTTTTAGCTACTCAATCGGGCGACTACCGTAAGAGCTCAGAGGTTCCTACCCTTCCAGTTTGGTAGCAGCCTTCTAAGAAGCAGCGATCTAGATCATCTTTTTTTTTTGCCCTTTGAGACCCCATCGAACCTGCTATCACAGCAATGATTAAATTTGACTGCTGGCGGCTACAAACCCACTTCCGGCAGGAATCGGAAATGAATTTGTAACAGCTATATGCATTTTTACATTCGTTTTTATATATATAATTGGTCATCGCCAGTCAATTCCGTTCACCACTCAATAGTTGTTACTGGTACTTTCAACGATATGTATCAATACCAGTGGTTTAGCTACCTTGGTTGGTTTTCCTGTGTAATCTGAACTTTCACTAGCATTATATCCTGTAGGAAATTTAATTGTTGGGTGCGTGTGGATGTTCTTATCCAGTAAACAAAGAAAGTCCCATGGGAAACTTTGTTCAAGTTTTTTTAACGAGTTCGAGTAGTATTTTTTACGTACGACCGGACACACCAACGCAAGGCCTGTTTTATATGGGACTGAGCCCGACTGTTGCATTTAAAGACCATTATTTCTCAATTCCTCTTTTATAATGGCTTTCAAACCAACCCGAATATCCATTGAACACCATGCAATGGGTTAATAAAAAAGCAATAAAAATTTGGTATCTTTTATTTCAATCAGGACTGAAGTAGCTTGTTAAAGGCAACATATTTGTTTTCCTGCGTCTGTTTCAATATAGAGTAAGAATACTGTTTTTAGTAATCGTATGTGAAATATTAGCCAGTTGTTGCTCAAGTGTAGCGCGGACACAAAGAGGTGATAAAATTTAATGTATTTTTGTTTTTGTTTTTTGACTGACCGACATTTCACAGATATGCACTCCATGTTGGTCGTCTATTTCAACCTTCACAGACATATGGGTTATTTTTTGATTCAGGTGGGTTTGTGTAAAATAGCGTTTTAAAGTTAATCCTTTGTTTTTACTTAATATATTTAAAAGGACATAATTATTTAGCGGGTATTTGCACTAGTTTTTTAACCTAGAAGGCCTTAGAAGTTCGAAATGTCATACACTAACCTGTAACTCAATACATTTAAACGTAATGCCTCGGGTTAGAGTCTGCGTGCAGCTTAGATAAAAAAAAGTATGTCTCTCTACTTACCTTTTTTACCTGCGTTATAGGTGTATGTGCCCTGTATCCTATTGGTTGTCCTTTCATGGGTGTCATTTTGGATTAATAGGGAGGCTACGGCTGATCGTGTGGGGCTTGGTAAGTACTTGTTCATGTATACATATACCCTTGTGTGCATACGGTTTAACGACAACCTCTCACTTACTCCGAAGTTCCTTAGATCAGGTACAATTGACCTGTTCGTTATATATTTTTAGGTCCCCTTCTTTTCTATAGTACTATATCGTTGGTCGACACAAAATCAACACAAAAGCATGCTACCTAGCTTTGTGTGCACCTTGCTTCCATGTGCATGTGCCTGAGCGCGTGGCTGCGTGTTCAGACAACCAGAAATTTCTTCTGCGCACTTTTTCCACCTTGAAAATTTCAAGGGATACTATGATAAAGTTTGTTAATGTCTGTTTCATTCGTCAGTAGTTTTGTTTAAGCGTGCTACTTGCATTTAACAACATCGTGGCGTTGTTTCAATATGAAGTAAAGATTAACTCACTTCACTGTCGCCACACCATGTCTTCATATTTACTGAATAGTCCCCCCCGAACTACTGTCACATTCCGCATCTTCGTCCCGGTCCTCAGTAATAATCATCACTTATCCGAGCGCGAACGTTCTATTTAGGCCGAGGTCTTCCTCTTCGTCATCGAGTTGTTACCGCGGCTACTATGGCGTTGTTTCCATTCCCGCTACAGCGTCCGCGGTTTCTGCTACAATTGTTGTTGGACCTAAAGCATAGGAAGCTCAGACCACGATCTTTCACGCCGCTTGTCAGGTTTACAGGTACCCTGAACTATAAAAGGGTATCAAAATCATTTTTTACGGCATTTTTTAAAGTCATACACCTACATGCCCGCTTGGCCTTTGGGTACTGGTGTTATTTCCAGTACGGGAGTGCGGAAAACCATAAATGTATATATATGATTGCCTACGTAACCATGCGCAATTCAGTTCTATGGCAATGGTGACTAATAACACAAAGGAAGGCGAGCGACTGACATGATCGTATTCTTCTCATTAAAAACTGCCTTTTGTCGACGCAGTGTGTTGACTCAGCGACCTCTGCAGAGGCAGCGGCTACGGTGGGCAGGCGACAAAGGAAAAGCGAGACGACGGGTAAAAACGACAAGTTTGAGGTTATTAGCAGCGAATGTCGATATAAGAAAATATAGAAAAAGGAAAAAAAAAGCGAACCAGAAGAGGACTTCAAGAATGGTTTGAATCTGTGGTCTAGCGGTTGCACTCGGGTTGAGGCCTGTGCAGCGAAAAAGCTATTTTTCTAAACATGGCGTTAAGTATTCATGTACGGCCAGTGTGTACACTAATTATATGCAGCCTAGGATTGCTTAAATGATCTTCTAAAAAGTTCAATATCTTTTGGAAAATGTTCGTCGACAACAAGGCTGTAAGCAGCGGCGAATATACTGTCCTTATGTTACCGCCTGAGTCCTGCTACGCTGTTCGTACATTCCATACTTTTGGTATCGGTGTATTTACTAAATAAGATACTTGCTTTAGATGAGGGTCTTGCAACGCAATCTTTTTTCACCGACATTGCGGCGGCGGCGGCGGCGGCTTGAATTAACGAACGTTTTGGTCTAGGAAACAAATTCGGAAACGCTTTGTAACGGCGATACAACAACAGAACGAATCTTTTCCACTGCACACGAGACGCCTACGTTGAACCCATACGAGAACCACGTACTATAGTTGATCGTTCAGCATAATGTGCACGTAGTAAGGATTGAAGACAGCGTGGTAATTGTACTAAGAGATGTAAAGTCGACGCTAATGCTATGTACCGAGTAGATGCATGAGCTACACGTAACCGGAACAATACAGCGCATGTATGGGTGATGAACAAAGCGCAATTACGATGATCGTTCCTCATGCATTATTGTCTACTTTATACAGAACTTGCTGTATCGTATATTGGGATGTGCCGATTAGTTATTATTGTATGATGCTATGATGAGATTCATTGGAACTGAGTAAAAAGCAGGGTGCGGTTTGCTAACATATAAATCATGTATAGATTTGCAGCTTGGACGGGGTGCGCAATACTAATTACGTGTCAAGAAGTCAAATGTCGGGGCAATAAGATGAATGCAGTCAAACATAAACAAATTCTGTGAATTTTGTTTGCGGCCCTAACAATTCCTGGTCCCGTACTAGTTAACATACGTGACGTAAACCCAGAAAGCAGCTGTATACTAAGTAAGCTTGCCAGAATTTGGTTTAATCAGCGATATCTTCAGCTGTTGTTACTGAGCTCGCATGCTGTATACCTACATCCCTGGTTCGTCAAGGGAAACAAAAGGCAAAAAAGCAGCTATGTTTGATTTAAACAATGTTTTGCCACCCTATTCTAACGAGACTGCTGCACCCATACGATCACCATTATAAAACTGGACTGATATAATATGATATTAATATTCATGCGAATCATTCGCAGGAATTACGACTGTGTTAACGCTATCCACGTTCGGCTCAGATACACGAACCGATTTGCCCAAGGTAAGAGTCATGAACATATTTGCCCTGTCTGCCCACCCGACGTTGCCCCATTTTCCCTGTCTCATGTACCGAAAAAGTGACACGATCGTCAGTTTGACGCCAGTCAGAATAATAATCTTTGATAATAATTTGCACACAAGCGTCAATTAGAAATCCATAGAGTATATCTGTCGCAAGCGTCGGTCGTCGCAAAAACACCGCCGAGCAACAACATCTACTGAGGCAACTACCTTGTCTAACTCTAGTGATTTTCAAAGGGTACATGTACGCCCACAGAGTTTGTACCATCTTCGTATTGAGACCGCCCGCTAGACAACCGGCTACAGTTATATTGTCCTAAATTAGTTCTAGGTACTTTTTCTTTGGAGTAATATGTTTCTTGGAACACATGTCACGATCGACCAGATATTTGCCAGACGCCAAATGTAATGCAAGCCAGAAAGCTTAAGGAGAACATGATATTTACTCAAGAGGACGGACTTTCGGCGAAGTACTGTATATAACCAAATGATATTTGTTTCTCTATCGGCATGTGATTGAAGGTGGCCTACCCGACCGCGTTGGATTGGTTTGTGATCATGTGTTTTGCATTCGTCATGCTGACATTACTTGAGTACGCCGGGGTGCATTATTTTACCAAAGTAGGATCGGGCGAGTACTTCCCCGGACAGGAAGGTATGCCTGCTGAAACGAAATCCTTTATGCTCTGCTTTCATATATAGAAGTAGCTAGGTGCAGGGTCATTTCGAATTATCTTTCTGAATGCGTTTGCGGAATCTAATGATATATGCAACATATACAAGGCAATAGTTGGCTGTGAAAATGCAGCAAGTGTAGACGTAGAAGGCCCGATATATCATTCCATCGATACATACGACTGCAACGGAAACTATCGAAACGGAGAAATTTGTTAAACACCACTTTCGGATCTGACTCAGATCTTCAGGTAGCTCTTGTGTAAAAAAAAAAATAAATGAGTTGATTACAGGAACTTCATATAAAAAGGTCATCTTTCTCTGACCCAGCTATGGCGGACTTGGGCCCTTCTGTGTATATATACTAGCAAACATTTTGTTACTTCATCTCGTCTCGAGAAAAGATGTCGCCAACAGCAGTTTGTCCGACAATATTTGTCGCCCGTAAATTTACCAGGCTCATAAGGTGAAATTCTTTTTCCTCGTTTTTTCCATATTTTATTAGTCTGCATCGTTTGGCTCTCATGCGTCTTCCTATATCTCTCTATACAGCTAGTTCTCTCAATGGGAAACTCTAGGCGCCCCCTGTATCTGCACTGAAGTAATAAATATTTATGTTCCGAACAAAAAAACGTTATCATTAGGATTTAACCATAGATTTTAGCGACAGAAGGCAAAATCTGGTTCACTTTAACTTGCCCCACTTGACATGAACGCAGAGAAATTTGTCGCAAAGCCCATCCGAAGCTTGATTTTTGAAGCCGTAGTTGAAATCATGTGATAGGATTCGTTAGATTGCATTACTGGCTCAAAAAGTCGTACCGATAGAGCTTTTCCTTATCCTAGTTCCTTTCAACTCTATACCTTATTATCTGTTTATTTAGCCTGTTCCAGTTTTGCTTCATCTTTTATTAATCAGGCCTTAGATAAAAACTCTTGAACTAAAGTCACCTTGAATTGCCCTGTTCCTGTTATCATAGCGTGGCTACGGCTTTTTCTTGCAAACCATAAACTCGTAGCTGATTTCATCGTCACCGTTTCAGCTAGAGATTGGATAGAAACGTATCTTATAACAGTTCAATTAAAATACAGGTACATGAAATTTTTTAAGTTTACGCAAAAAACACGGCATCATCATAAATTTGTACTTTTATGTATTTTTCTCAATAGCACTTAATAGTAGGACTTCATTGGAGAATGACGTTTATATCCACAACGATGAAAAACGTTTATATCCACATATTCAAGCTCTACGAGCTATATTAGATCCTTCAAATTAGAAGAGAGTTCTCATTTAATATTGAAGATGGTAAATCCAAGTTGTAAAGTAAAGATATATAGTACGCTCAAAAATTATATGTCTGTACTACTTCGAAGATAATAGCGGTTCATCTAAAAAAACGTTATTACATCAAGTAACCTTCAAAAGAATATCTATTACAAAACGATGTAGCTTGTGAGTGGTCACGGTGATCCAATTTATGCAGGGTAGTAGAAATCTGAGCACAATGGGTAGATACCGATATTATTTCTTCCCAAGAACTCAATCGAGGTTGACATGGACTTTCGATGCAATTATCCGCTGGACAAATGTTTTGCACACGAAGCATTGTACCGAAATAATACAGACCGGCTCGAGTACCGGCTGCACGGTGAGCACGAGAAAATGCCATGAAAGTAAGGAGAGTTCCGTTTCAGTTTTTTGGTATCATGACGTCCAGTTGAAGGCACTATATATATATATATATGCATCATAATTTCAGGGATTGAGGATGACAGCGAACAAGAATTCGAGCGCTGCGACATGGAAGACGATGATGATGACGACCCGCAATATTTGAAACGAGGACACTCCGACGTAGAAAGATACGTATGGACCGAGGTCAACGCGTGCAACCAGGTTTGCGCCTACAGTAACGCCTTATTGTGACTATGTATTTGGTGAGAGCCACTGTTCGTCAATAATGGATCCGCGTGGGTCAATAATGGGCCGCGTGCACATTCAGGTATAAGTAGCCGGTTCATTGACACTTGGTCTTTGTGTTCCTGCAGGTTAGCTGTTACCCGCAGAACACGGATTTCGGAACCGGCAACGCCGGGATGCGATACCGGGCATGCAGTGCTCCTTTTGTACAGACCTCGCGCGGTTCAATTCGAATACAGAATGTCATCGGCGGCACGGGTAGTTTGCACCCACTAAGATCCGGTACTCAACAACCGATACCAGCAATGCAATACATACCGCCCCCACCGAGGCCAGCTCGCAGAAGAGTAAATCGTTGGCTTCAGTTCCTTTATTGCATTGCAGGCAATAAAAGGTAACGAAGTTTACGTTAACCTAATCAATAAATATGACTGCATTTAATTAAACATAAACTCGTACCAACGACAATATACAGCATGACATACACTTTTAAGGTTATCTACTTCATTGGCATACCGAAACGTTTTTAGAGCGTAGAGTTATCTCTCGTCTGTCTGTGATGAATTCCCGATATCAATGGACTCACTTAACAGGTTGTGAAAACAAGGCTGTTTATCGGATTTTAAATGTAGTTAATATTTGTATGATGACTTATTCTCTTGAGAATATCAGACGCTTAATATGTCGTTGTATTAAGTAGCAAAGCTTTACAGCTTAGTAGTAAGTACTAGAGTGGACTTCACTGAATAGCATTGGGAAATTAAAAAGGAATATTTAAAAAAAAATTAGATAAAAAACTGAGCTGTTTCAATGTTATTCATCAGTGTACATAGCCTATTCTTAACCCTCGTATGGATATTTGCGTTTCAGGTACCGCGACGAAATGCGTCGAAGTGCTCCCCGAGGCCAAACAGCAAATTCAGTCTCAAAAATTGATCGTTGCTCTAGGATTCTCTTTCCCGTCAGTTTTATAGTTCTTAACGTGCTTTATTGGGTTGGATATACCCAGTTTGCTGAAGATGGTTGGCAGCGAACTAGCGATACTTAAGCGATATTTCGTATGCCATCTTCAAATGTCTGTAAAAAAGGATTATAGAAACCGATGCGAATGCACAGCACGTATGTTGTAAACTTCAGATCCAGATCCTATAAGGTATCTTTCTCACTAGTAACAATCTGATATTTTTACAGACGAAAGAAATTGCCCAATTTTGATATAGACTTGGCGATGTATGAGGGCATTCTAAGCAGCGTTACCTAAAAGAGGCCTCTTTAAAGACCTGACAATTGACTAAACACTGCTGCGATTGTTATGGAGTCGAGGTCGTCTTTCTAACGTGACACAGACGAAATGAAACAAGATGTTGAGCTTGCAGGTAGACAGGCACTGGTGGACGCCAAAGTTAAAAGCAGAATTTCGAAACAGCTTGTACAATAGGTTCGTTAATCCCTTTCACTTATTATCTTACTATACTATTATTATAGTGTATCATATTATTACCTTCTTATTATTCTTCTTACTAATGTCTATAAATACTTTCAGCATATACAGCTGATATCGAGAAGAAATTAAGCTTTAACGTGAAATGGTCGTTTCCCTCATGCTAGATTCACTTTTTTTGTGTTCATTAATATTCTAGTTAATTTGCTCTGAAATATATCGATACGAACCCAGAAGTGGGTCATGCTGATACCATGTGTATTTCTTATGTTAGTGGCGATGCAAGAGTTATGAGTGTCTCCTATTGGTTTAGAACGAGATATTCGGAATATCGTATTCGAATATCCTTGAGATGTATTGACTCCAATGGCGTTGAAGGCGCAAGTTACATGTTCATTGAGATTCCTATTGTAGTTGTTATCAACATGCTCTTGGTCCTGTTGGATGCTGTGTCCTACTACTGTAAGGGCAAATCAAGCACAAGGCTTGGTATTCACTGAGGCATTTTGTGGGATAGGTCTTACACCGAATTACCATTCAGTAGTTATCAAAATGTACAACACTGCTTGAACACATCGTATAGAAGATCCTCTTCAAAGTACTCTCGTTTTCGAGTAGGGCGAAAGGTATCGTCGACGAATCCTTTAAAATGCAAATTCAGCGGGCGTTCAATAAACAATAGTAGCTAATGTGACAAAGCCTGAAAAACAATACCAAACATTGTTTTGAACTAACTGTCAACATACAAATAATATCAAACGTCCACGTAATTTATGGAGTGCATCCCAGTTATGAAGTACCAGATACAGCTGTCTGTATTGTCTGTGTCTAGTAAGTGTTTGTTTGTTATGCTTCATTTAGTTACTATATCTAAAGGTTGAATTTTTTTGAAAGCTGTGCGTTTCGTAAGCGCCGATTAAAATATAGATCAGTGATGTCCTAGATGACAAGATGAAGGAAATGTTCAACTACCATTGTTCATACATGAATGATAAATACTGCATATCCCGTACTGACGTTGAGAAAGGTTCTTAAGCTTGTAACATCTACTACTGATTGCCGAGTGGATTTTCCAACAGCAAAGATCTCCCAAAATACAAAGTAGGAAAAATCGAGGCTCCATCGTAGCTTTAATAGGATTGCTTAAAATATATATAAGGGTATATTATGCACTCGTGCAGAAATGGTACGACATCTATCGTAGGATCTAATAAATATACAGAGTCTAACGAATATAAATTGACAACGTTTGGTGATTTTTGTCCATATGATTAACCATTACACCAGGATACCTCTGCCGTTATACGTGGCATCTCTACTCGGGTGATCGACTTTTCGTAGCCGAAGCCTTAGGTTAGATCATAGTTTATTTAGGACCATTTTCCTCTGTCTCTAACTGGGCTTCGCTTTTGTGTAGCTAGTAATCTCTTGTTGGTAGTAGTACGTTTGCGTTATGGGCAATGAATAGATTTATTCCTTCACTTTTAATATCGCTTCCTGCCACACCACCTTTTCCCAACGAGCTTGGCTAAGGCGGCGCATTAACTTAAGGCACGGATCTACTGCAACGTTAGTTTGAGTACTTGTTTTCATATCAAGTTTAAAAATTGAACAGTATGAATAACATTGTATACATCGAATAATGGTTAATAATTTGAAGTTTTTCTTTAACAAGACATTTGAATGAATGATCAGTGCGGGTTGTGCTAGACAATTCAGACAACTGCGATCTGTGGGTGTAGTTTCGGATGTGCAAAACCTGGAACTAAAGTTCTATGCCTCACAAATGATTTGAGTCAGCGTCCCCCTACCGAAGTACCTATTGGTCCGTCCGTGAACGATGATTTTGTTTTAACGTCTGACGTATTGAGAAATTTCTGTAACAGTTAATTGTATATTAGTCATTGTTTAGGAAAAATTTACACTATAGAACTCGAAAGGTACAGGTGCAGTCTTTAAGAAAACAAACAAACGCAATCTTTGCTAACAATGGAATTATGCGGCTGTACGTTTTTACAAGCGCTAATTTCCTGATTTGTTTCTGATCCTCCAGTGTTTAAGTAATTATAACAAGGTAAGTAAATTCAATAGGCTAAACAACTCACTAGCATGATATAAAAGTAACGTTTTGAGACCTCCTTGTTTGACCTGTTTGTTCAGCATTGCACGGAACCGTCTCTGCAGTCAATTTGATGACAGCGGTGCGCAGATTCCTTGTCACTATATATGACTTATCGCTCTCGTCCTTCTGGATATAAAACTATTGACGAGATAAATGCAGTCAGGCCGCCGACCAACGCTGGTTTCATACAGAAATTACCGTTTGTCAATGTCAAAGTGATTTTTATGTACACAGTCACACGAAGGCTCGTTGTCGGGCGTTTCCTCAAACGGGTTACTAGCCCACTTATCGGAAAAAAACATGAATATAAGGGGGCCGCGCTTTGCAACAGATCACCTTTTCTTTAATTTTGCATTTCGTACTTATTTCAAAAAATTACAATCTTTGAAAGCGCTCATGGGGCATGCCTTCATCCAAATTAAGCTCTGTAATATTCGTATGTCTCTATGCAGAGCTCTTTGATTTTGTCCATAAAAAAAGGTGACACATTAAGGAGCCTAAGCTTGTCCTACGTTAATAGGAGTGCATAAAAAAAACGTGAAAGGGCATAGAATATGCATTTGTTTTATTGAATGTCTTTTCATTTCTAAGATTTTATTCAAGATTTTTAACGGCCTGCGGAAAGGCCTAGCACCGATTAAATTCAATTCAGAGCCCAATCTTGCTGGATTCTATCGGTGTCAACAGAAAATTTCATCAGAGTTTTATCTTCGTCCGGTTCACCAGATGTCAGCTGTTGCAAAACGTCACCTCGTTTTCAAAGCAGCAGCTGCTGTCGCCATTGATAGGCCATTCTAGCGATATTCCAGGCCTTTTCAATATACCCGACTTCTTTTTTAGTCGGCTAGCTCGATTGCAATACTTTCTCCTCTGTTTGTCACTGCTTTCTAAAAAGTCTAGAATGGTTCGAAAGTAAAAAACAGTATTTCTTTGTTTCTAAATGAAATAAATCAGCGTTTTTAAGATCGTGCAGGGTTCGTACGAATTTAATATAAGCATCAAGAATAAAAACACGGACACTGCCTGTACATTCCGTTTCCAACCATTCGCTGTGGGCCACCCAATGAATGGAACCGTCGTGGTCAATCTAGCGTTCTACGCTGCGGGTGACGCGTTAAATTTGACCATTCAACAAAGGCGAACCATAGCCTTTTGTCTTTGTCACCTGCAGGCCAAAAATAACATGATTATTTCCAATTTTAATTTAATTTCCATTGACTCTTACATCGACTCCACCGCTTAACTGAGTTTCCTTGCTGAAATTGGCAAAGCTACCTTTTCAAAGAGGTGAGAACGAAAGTTTTTTAGATATCACATTGTTATTTTTAGGAACATCTGTCTTAGTCGAACAGCTTGAATAGATCATATTATTAGTTATTGCTTGTGTTATTTTTTGCATTACATTTGTCATTTCTTCAGTAACCAGATAAAACAGGTCTATATAGATACTCAATTAGATCGCTTCCGAACTTTATAGACATTGACCCTATAACAGAAGACACTTATAAACGTCATTTATTCAGCATATTATAATGAGAATGATCCACATATGGGATTTCTGATCTAATCTCATATTTTGCCTACTCCTATTCATTGCCTCCCCACAGCAAAATATCGCAGTGTCTTTTGTTGCAACCGTTGTTCCGCACCTTTTAATGCCACGACGATTGATCGAAATACATATAATATCCGACCAATTATCAAACAAAACCCGAACTTTTTCTTTTCTGTTGGGGTGTTAGACGTTCGAAACGACGAACGGAAAGAAAAAAGTAAATTTTGTGTCATTCTTTCATGTACGCCTAATGTCACTGTTGCATCAATGGCTACTTTGTTTACTATAGCTACGAATACACTGAATACGAAGTACTGAATCATAGTCTCCATAATTGAAAAAAGTGGATCATTTTTAAACACGGAGCGGTTAGTACGCGATAATGTGACGAGACCAATGGTAACCTGACTACCAATACACAGTCGTGGACAATTCTTAATTCTCAGATACACGAAAGTTTGAAGCGCGGTGAAGATTCTAGAAGGTTTCAGCGGATCGGTTTTTGAGAGTTTGGCAAGATCCAGCACCGATGAATAGAGAATGAGTGAGAGAGAAAGATTTCGTGAATACGATAAGCTAGTCTTCGCTGAATGTAAACAGCTGAATGATAGGGTTCGGTGATTTCTTGTCCTCAGTTCAATCAAAACTCAAATAGACCAGTTGGTTGACCTGCAAGGACACATATGCGGGTGGAATATAGCCGCCGGTTTTTTGATGTGTGGTTTAAGGCTTTTATAGTACAGTCTGTAAGAATCCATTGACTATGCCTTTGGCCTCGTGGTGGAGCTATCGAAGGTAAAAAAGTATAAGGGTAGACAAGCATCGTTTAGCGAGCAAAGTTAAGCGTTTCTCTCAATATGTTTAGCCTTGCATGAAGAAGCATGACTCGTTTGAAGGAAGAACTGGACCTCATCATTTTTCATGTCTGCGAAGTGGCTATCGGCGCAATATGTCAATAATTTCTAATAAATAATTATTTTCCAGCTTCCAGTTTATCTTTTTCTCGGAAAATCAAATGCTGCCAACAGCAACAACAAATCCTTCTTAGGATTATCTGTTGATAACTCCATTCGGTCGTAAACTACCGATTTGTGTCGCCATTTATTTTTAGGGAGAAGAACTGAGAAAGAATTGTCATTTTCAGTTGTTTCTGCTACTAAGAGAATATCATTCGCTTATCGTGAGAATCCGTCGGGAATGTATAAGCGTCAAGGGTTTAGCCGTAATGAAAAGAAACAAACATCGACCAAGTTGTCTAAGACCAGGATTTTTCACGGCACACAATATAGATGTAACGCCCAAAACGATAGTTGATGATATATAGCAATGGACGTTCTGCTATTGGCCCAATGGTGCTCGATAAAAGACAAATACGATTACACAGAAATAGGGACCGGAAGAGAAAATGGTTACCGAGAATCGCAGCATTTGATACGCGTACACAAATGCGCCAGGCACAATTAGATAGGAGGCCGCAATTTTCTTGTCATACCTAGCCTCATACAAATTTCTACTTTATTATTATTAAAGAAAAAGCCCCTTAGTCGGATCGATCCATTCTATCTACAGCATATAGGAATATTCACTCTCGGAAACGATGCGAAAAAGCAAAGAATATATATATCTTCGTATGGCGTTTAAATCACGCGTTTCACGCGAAATTTTGCAGGCAATTGAGTACAGGCTGACAGTCAGTTAAGTTGAATCTTTCGTTGGAGACTGCGCATTTAAATAGGCTCTTGCTTTCATTTTAAACTCGTTCCAGTATATTAATACTATCGAATAGCGTAGTTGGCACTTTCAGAAAACGATCAAAGAGCTTTAGATGTAAGCATATTCGTTGTCCTCACATTAACTTCCTGACAGTCTTTTTGGAATTCATAACTTCTCGTTGCTGTAGTTAAGACTACTTGAGGCAATTGCATTCTTTACAGGAAAACCCAAAATAAATTTACTACATACATATATATATATATATATTAATGTAAAAATACTTAAAAACATAGAAGACAGTTTGAAAAAATGACTGGTCTTTGTCTCAAAAATAAGTGTCAAATTTACTACGGCATTACCAAGTAAAAGTAGTTACATCCGCAAGTGTGCGCAACAAGATACCATAAGCCTTACACACCTACTTGGTTATCACAAGGTATTTGACGGATTTTGAAATCGAATTACCTTTTTACAAATGTATATGCTGCTAAATGCTACAGTATTTTAAAAAGCTGTAGGTAAAAGCCGACCGAATGTACTTCAGACGAGGGTTAGCTGAAAGGAACACTGCTGTTTAGTCTTAGAAATCAACGCTCAGCAGTGAAGCTTTCAAATGTCTCAGTCCTGCTACAAGATATTGGTGGAGACATTAGGCAAAAAGGCCTGTTTATGTTTAGCACTGTTAGTTAGTTATTCAGTATATGTAAGCAAGTCTTCCGAATCACTTATTGTTAAGTATAGCAAAGACTTTCCTTTTCAAGAACCTGACGAAGGTAGTTCTTGCTGGATTTACCTGAGGTTTTTCCTAAAAGACTCATGAAACGGATGACAACTGTACAAGCAGCTATTAACCTAAATGAAACTATCTCCTTTAAATGTTTACTTCCCAGATCATTGTTAAGCAAAAGTTATTGCCAGCTAATGATTTGAAACAGCGTAAACGCATAATTGTTAGTTATAGTTATCATGGCAACGCATTCAAAGGAATGTATATTAGCCACGCGGACCACGCCACCACGAGCAAGGAGGCCCTAAGCGATCGTAAGTATATATGAATGTTGCAAACGTTTTAGGAGCGGAAACTGAAATGTTGAAGACCAACTAACTGGTGACCAGATACCGGAACCCGCAGGCTTTGCCGCAATTAATGAGGCTTTTTACTACGACAGAGCTGCGGGGGCCTAATGACATTATCGGTCAAAACTGGCATTTTGCACGTATCGCATTACAAAAACTTAACCCAAATACTAAAAATGCGAAGATTGAGTAAAAAATGGGCCCCACGTAAATTTGCTCCAGGATAGTTTAAAATGCGTGTGGTTTATTCCACTTGCAGTTTGCGAAACTTTAGTCAACGAAAAACCCCTTCAGGGCATGCGGTGGCCATAGACGAAACATGGCTCAGCTATCGGTAGAGGCTGAGTCATGTTTCGTCAGAGGGACCAAGCAAGAGAATAGCGTCACCTAAGAGAGAGAAATAGAGTTGGATGGGAATGTCAAGTAGATTTGGACATAAGGTGTAAGAAGCATTGTATTTACAATGGACATCAAAATCATTTGTTACCATGAGATATTCGCTAAAAATGAAACAATGCATCCCGCCATCTCGGCTTCCTCAAGAGAGTCTACACTACGCAGTCTAGTTACGTGATGAGTTCATCGCTGCATGTCAACCGCTTCATGGATGAAGCAAAGAAATATCCAACCTAGGGTTCAGCCCGCCTATTCTCGCAATATAAATTCTTGAGATTATGGGATTTTCCATAACCTGAAAAGGGCAACTGTCCGGACCTACAACAGGTTACCCGCCCTTGGTTCCCTTGGATTGCAAAAATATTTTTGTTCCTAGCAGCGGCATTAACGCTTTTTGTCTATTTATAAAGATACGCCGCCGGGAAATACCCTTGAGCGTCAACGGTTTTTTGTCTGTTCTAGTTCTTTCTCTCGCTATCCTCAATGGACTACCGTTAGTTCATGGAAAACGTGTATTTGGAATACATACCGATGTGTGTGCTGTCGGTATCTATAACCTTGTTTTATAATAGACTTTGCTGGATAGTCTTCAGACTAGAGAGAATAAACTTAGCATCGGTATTTTAGCATGGTTCAAATAGATTTGATAGTTTCATATGAGGATCTATTTCCTGTATAAAAAATCTGTTTGGAAAAAGCTCGTGTGGCAACATGAATTCAAGTGCGATTCGAAAGTATATGATACACGTTGTTATTTTGTTTTCAAGAGTCTCCGGCTCTCATGTTGGTACAAAGGCCGCCTGGCATATTGTGCAATAAATGGAATTTGTCATGAGAAAACCCGTCTCTCTTTTCTAAACAAGATCTGCTGCCCTATTAACAAAACACCTTGTGTCGTTTCTTTGTTATTAAGCAAAAAGGGCGTTTCCTGTGACCGATTTCTGCATCCTTTAATCATAGCCATGCTCTATTTCTTCGTATTTCTAAGCGTTTTCTCTGTAAGAAGGCTGCGGAAATTATAACAAGATACGTACCTAGCTCTTGATAAGATACTTAATAATAATTTACTCCTTTCCTACGTCTGAAGTAACGCAACGTGTGGCAAATGGTATGCGAAATTGTCTCATATCTGAATCCATGTATTTCGTACCGTTGGGAGTCGGGATCGAAGCACAGACAATGACACGACAATAAGGGATTCGAAATTCCAATCGACATTCCGTCTACGGAACAGCCGTCTCACGGAGTACAAGGTTTCTCTGGTTGAATAGTACCTATAGGTAAAATAGGGCAAAGAGGCTGTCGGACCAACATACGAAGCCAAAAAGGCATGTTTGACTTCTACGACGGCCATATGCCCACAAACATGTGTATAGACATAACAGTCTAAATAGATGCGTCCAGCGGCTCAAACTAGTGATTCTGGCTTTTTACAGCAGTTAGGAACTTTGCCGTCCAAGCTAGTTTCAAGTGCCTTGAACCACCTCAGGACGCTTTCGAGTTAAAAAAAAAATATATATATATGTATATATATAGGTATGTGAAATTTAATTGGGATACCATTATTATAGGGCTAGAAAACGAATTGCCTCTATAAAAAAAAATAGCAGAAAAAGACATGTACGGTAGAGTGCCGTAGATTATGGAAACATGATGCTCATTTTTGGGCAAAAACAACGATTTTTTTTTCTATCCGTTGTATTTGATTGTACCTGCATCATAGAACATTAGAATGATCATAACATATGCTGCAATATAGCCCCGTTAGACATAATACAAATTCATTTTCACCGACCTCAATAATTTAAACTTACTGACACAACCATTATGAAGTCTAACTTGCCTAGGCAAAATGATTATCGTTATGATGTCCGCTCTGATTAAGCGAAAGAAAAATAAACAATATGCATAGAATAAAAATTACATTATAGCAAATTAGCTATATGTATAGCACCTAATGGTATGCAGTAATTGAGACAGTTGAAGCCGTTCCGATTTCCCTATAATGCCAGCCTGTTCCCTTATCTTGGCTGCTGTTAGGTCTAATAACGATGATCCTGATGTTTATCTGCCGTGTCGGTTTCGGACGTCACAAAGGTTCCTCGAAATCTTCCCGATTCATATCTCTTCTCGAAGATGTTGTTGGAGCGCGCTTACACGACGAGGGTGTTAAGTATCGGGATGAACTTGCTATTGATTTGTCAATCCCAATCATTGAGCAGTCTGAGATGTTTGTCTGTAATAGTAATGTTTTTAAGCGTATACGACTGAGAAATAAAAATTTCAATATATTATAAGGCCGATCATCTACCTTTACCTAGGTAAACTTAAGCAAATATCGTTGTCTAGTTTCAGAATAATGCCCGAGATTTTCCTACCTTTTTATTGACATGCTGAAGCTTAACTTTCTTCGGATCATGGCTCTCGTGCTCTTCTAATTTCACACAGACGATCGAATTCCTAGCGTCGGGACCATGAGGAAAGATTACCGGTGCTTTCCGGCCGCGCCAACAATAGATGGCCACGGCCAGGACAGCCCAGCCAACAACAAAGACAACCAAGCTACCAAGTAGGATGAGCCCGCCTACGGATGCGTGAGACGTAAGATCGATAGGCTTAAATATGCAGTAAATACGAAACATTAATTAATTTTTATGAATGAATTATATAAGTTGCAACTATATCTCTCAATACAGGCGATTCAGTGCAAAAGGACAAGCTGAAAACTGGCAAAGGTAAGCTTTTGATTTGGCAGAATTTAGGTCGGATGTTAAGGCCAAAGTAGGTTGACAACGGAAACAGATGCTGCTTGAGTAGCAAATACAAATTTTGCCTAATGTGTAAATTTACTCTGCTGTTACGTGCAGACTTTTGTTCTATCTATTGCCTACTCTGTTGTGTTATATAGGTATCTATCGTAAATGATAGTGTTCATGCTTCAGCTAGGTACATGGGTATGTATGTCTTGACATCGTCCATTAGAAACGCATACCCCTGCCAATCGTATGCTACAAGCCATTAACACCATAGTAAGCTTGTCATCTGCCTTATCTGCATGTGTAGAACGGTCATACACTCAATCATAGGTATTATTAAGTAGTTATTGTTTCGCCACTTATACATCAACGGTCTTGTTCAAGCATCTCTGATCTTCAGCAAATCCGGATGCCCTCACTGCGATGCAGTCTATCGAAAATGTACATCTAGCATTTACATAATTACGAGATATCTCTGAATATTGGTCACCTGTGTCAGCGTCGAGGTTCCAGTAAATTCTGACTATTCGTTTTGCACTCACATCAATAGAATATTTTTAATAACTGATGCGTTTATTGATATTATGAGTTCGTATTTAAAAATGCCTCCATTGACATCAGGCCAACGAACGACCGGTTTTGTCCCACTGGTGACCTAAACGTGGTGAACATTTGTTTACTTTGTATAATCATAGCCTGACGTTTGAAATAACCCTTTGAGTTAAGTTCATCATGAGATAGTTTTTACACTGTGAACTGAACTAGGCAGTTGCCTAAGAGAATAGCCGGGTACAACTACCCAGCTGTTCTGCCACAGCTTTCCAAGTATTCATGGTCCGACAATGTACTATTGAGAGGCGTTTCTCGATCTCATCGCACAAGGGTTGACCCTATCTAGAATTCGATTGTTACCAATCGATTGTCCGGATCCTTCTTTTAAGCTAAACTAGATAAATATGGGACACTGTAGTGTTGCGCTTTTTTTGCCTTCAAGACATTTTTACTCTTTCGAACTAATGTACGAAAATAATTTTCCATAAACGTCCATTAGAAGAAATTTCGCAAACAGATTAGAGCTAATCCGGCGCGCGCTGTTGTTCTTTCCGTGAGATGGTTGAAGCCTTTGATATAGGTTCATCTTGAAAACGGGCGTGTTTTTCAAGTGAGAAACGTGATTTGTTCGAGCCTAAATAGGCTTCTGTCCATAGCGATTAGGACAAAATTCGAAAACGATATGTGCATATATTGATCCTTTGCGTAGAATTCGCTTTACTTGAGCACACTAGTATGATAAGTAGTACTTTAGAACTAGTATAGTAAAGTAGTACTCTAGTAAGGTAGTAGGTGGTAAGTACAGACTCATTCGGATACTTGCTCGTCGAATTCCTCCTTCTCTTATCAAATGCGATTAAGGCACCGTTTTTCCGTTTAGGTTTCGTTGAAGCGACCTCTTGTCGCCTCGCAGATTTCCATTAACGTCGTTTTCCACATACGGCTCTATAAATCAGTTTTCTAATAGAACTCTTAGCTACACTGTCGTGCCATTGGCAAAGCATGCTTGGTAAGCGCTGGTCTGAGAGAGTTCGACCTGTAGCATGCACGGAATCTATGCGTGTTATAATATAATAATTAGCACAAACGTACACTTCGCCACATGCTGATCGTAGCTATAATATACGAACATAAAATACTATTTAAAATCTCGAGTGTCTAAATTATGAAGGGCATTGTCCATTCTCTCGTCGGGTCAATGAACGGTGGGCCTTATCTCAATTGGTAAGTAGCTCGAGTGGTCTGAATAGTTTTACAGATTTATGGGCCTGCGTCAACGCGTGGTGTTGTCGTCATCATTGTACATACATACAAACATACATACATACATACATACAGATATTATAAATTACAATGACGACGCACTGCTGTCATGGATGAGATGAGAGAGTTCCAATAAGATACAGACACATTATTGCGTGACAAACGACGGGGTACCTGATACGGGCAAAGGTCGTGTACCGTGCACAATCGTTGAGAACGATAAATGTTTCTTTAACTCATGCTGTCGGATTGCAAGACGCGTGTAGTATATATTATTTACCTTAACTGTGTCAGTTTTCCGCCATAGATTTAACTGGATCGTAATTTCAAAGCTGTGTCTTCTATCTGATTCATTGCAAGTCTGCAGTCAGACGTTCGTTATTGTTTGTAGACTAATATGTTTAGGCTTTGCAATGATCAAAAGTCACGTCCTGCATCTCATATGTAGTACTATTCGATACACGAAAAGGCTGAGTGAAAATGAAAAAAAAAAGTTGTTAGGTAGTAATATTTTTCCACTTCACCACCCAAGCTATACGTTTGGCTTACTCCAAGCATTATAATTATGTAAAAGTTACAGCAGAATTGAATTGAAGCATGAAACTATAACGTAACATCGTGAACGTAAGTTGACAATAGACGCATACAAGTTAGCCAGCCGAATATTGTCCCTTATAACATAGAAAAAAAAACGCATTCGAATTATGAAGTTGGCGCTGTATATCGTTTAGATCGAAACGCCATTCAGCTTCGAAAGGCAGACACCGCTTAAAAAAGCAATAGTTGGCACTGCTTGGCAGCATAAGATAGAGGTCAGATTAGGATAAGTTCAACCATTGTTCCCTGTATTGGCAAGGGGAAATTTTCAGGAGAGATTGAACGTATTAATGCTACTATGTACGCCTGCATTGGCATCGTAGACGAAACGAGGAAAGTGCTAGGAACCGCATTTAAGATGGAAGATTAACACTGGTAGGCATCAGCGATCCCTTATTATTATACATGGCGTTCTTGACTAAAATTTTATTGATCATTTTTCATTGTTTATGTCTCCGTGCAGCAGCTGGGAAGGGTTCAACTAAAACAATCTCAGTGAATGAACGTCTTATACCTGGTCAAGACAGTTCGTGACGGGACGCTGTTTTTGTAAGAAGCAAAACTCGTTGTTAAATGTCTGTTTTTTTAGAACGCGATAATTACTTTGTTGCAACTAACGTAGTTGTTGAAGTACAGCCCAACGATAAGCTCAATAATCTGTATGTTTCAAGCGATATGGTAAGCAGTTAATATATGTTGGAATACAGCAATAATATACCTTCACAAAACTAGTTAATTCCTACAGTGGGCCACCCATTTCGAAAACAAACGATGCTTTAAAGTTTTCCCATAAGCTTGATTCCTAAAAGATATTTGTGTTTGCGCTTTGTTGGCGCTGGTTCCAAAATCGTGTTTGCAAAACTTTTCAAATCGTGAGTATGAATTTAACTTTATTCGTGTATCTTTTTACAGTAACGTATAATTCTTGAGCTAACTTCGTTTAGAAAAGCCGAATGCAAATTGCTTCTGAGAAAGTATCTCCGTTCGGAACTTCATTACGTTCTAATTGATTTGTCTCAGGCGGGTTCCGGACACAGACCACACCTGCCAGTTCGGGTTCAACTAGATATATCTGGCCGTCTATATTTCAGCTAGGCTCCTCTAAGTAAATTACGGATAACAGCTACCGTTTGTCCACTAACGAATGGTGTATTTTCTGGCATTTACTACGTCCAACGATAAAATCTGTGGTTTATGTGAGAGTTACGGCTCATATCAATTCATATCGCCTTTACTCGGATATGTAAATAGGACAATATGGAAAATACAGTAAACAGGACGATTGGGGTCGAAGAGAGGAGAGACAATGTGAAACTGCGTCTTTTTTTCTAGACGATTTGCTTCAATGATACTTGTAGGCAGTCAAGTTACGATGCCGGAAGTTCCTCGTATGAAACAACGTATAACTTGGAAGTTGCATGTAGATTACGGAAAATTCATGTTGTCTACTTTCATTCATTTAAGTTCAGATACTATCTGCCTTGCACTGACATAGACGTTTTCGACTTTTTGGTCGGTATCTCCTTTCTCGAGAAGGCACAGACGAGAACCATTGCCATTGGGGTCTTTTTCGAGTTAGGCTTTATAAGAATTCTCTTTATTGTCGCAGTTTATAATAATTTTATCAAAAATAGCAGGAATGGAGCCTAGCTGGAGTGAACCTCGATCTACCGAAAGATTTGCTTAATCTTCTAATCACTTCAACATACTACATGAATAGATTTTTTGTTTATGGATTCATTAGTTTAGAGGATAGCAGAAGACTTTTTTTTGCCTGTCTTCCTTAGTTTGCATGCTCTGCCAAAGTAAAATGCAGCATCCGCTGCGAATTCTGTGCTTCACATCCAACCTCTGATAGGCTCGATTGGCTGAGAGCGCTGTCACTTTGCCCTCAGTGTCACGCATGTCAAGAGCAAGACTTACTGGGAGACGAACACTGAGCAGTAGCTCCTTTGGAGACATGTATCCTTTGGCTGCTTAGCTCAGTGAAATACGTGAAGCCTTACGCTGCCTTTAACCTTAGAGTACTCAAATATCGGCCTTATTGTTGAATTTATTTATTATCTATTTTTGCTTTATGCCTTGCCGCGTACGTGAATCGCAGCTAGTAAGAACTGTAAATTACCAAATGATGCTGCTGACAGATAACGACGTTTGTCAAAGTGTTGATTTAATTCGTCAAAATACTGTAACAACGAGAAGAAACCGCGCCAAAAAGGCAAAATTTACGCAGAGTAGCTACACCGGTGAGTCCTCTGCGGTAGCTCACAACAAACGTGTTCATCGTTCAACAGGAAAATTAGCTCATCTGCTGCGTGCTTGCTGCTTCAAAATTTGACAGGCACTCACTATTAAAGAGCTGTGTATACTTGCTTTTCGATACGCGGGAAAGCCTAGAGTTCCGTACCCTTGCATTAAGTTGAATCTAACAAAAGCTGCAGGCTCTTACTGTTTTGCCGCAAGAAAATTAGCCCAAACTTGTGTCGAATAGAAGCGACGGATCTTGTAAAAGTTTCCATTTCTTACACGCACAATGTAAAGCAGTGCTCCGCGAATATCTTGCGGTCGCACGATAGAAAAAGACCCAAGCCACACCGACTGCGACGAGACAGGTGTGGCAGCTGTGTACCGAGCTCCGCAAATTTGGACGGCCACTCGCATTCACCAACCTGGATAGGACGCTGCGGCGGAACGATATAAACTATTTACAGTAAGTTTTTTCATTAACGCCGTGGGTAGAACTATTCCGTCCATGTTTGTTTAGCCTCGAGCAAGCTACCATGTGTTGAATGCAACATATTCAACTGGACTGCTGCACCTGGTCAATCCACTGAGGGAGATGACAGAAGAGAGCTTCTTTTCGATGTCAGGACACGTCCCGAGGTACGTTAATCCCAAGGCCGGAGAAGCTACATCTCATTAGAAGTCATCGAGCGTACCATAAACAAGTATAACACCGCTACTGCGCACTGTTCGCATGAACTATAGCCTATAGGTAAAGCAGTGCTTGAACTGCTCGCACCGCTACCCCGGACAACCTGATGGTGCCTTATTCGAATGTTGAGATTACCTCCTATGGCATCTCGAAATGTGCGCGGATTGCGTTCGAGCGTTCATTGACTCAGTAAAATACTCCCGCGCCGGTTTGGTGTCAACGGGAACTGTTTCTCATATTAGTCAAATTCTGACCGGCACCGACTTTCATATATGAACAACATAATGCTAGACGTCAAATGACGAAAGCGGAAAAGGCACCCAGAATGCCAACGACGCCTTAGAGCCAACAAGGCTTCTCTGCTGCATCACCGATACGAGCGTTTACCTAAAGACGAGCAAACCGTTCTTAAAGAAAAACACGGAGACCGTTTTGGCGTAGAGTGACAAATCCGGATCCTCCTCAATTCTAACTAAATGAAGTAACGTGCGATTGGCCATCCGAAGCTACAGAAAGCACGAGGCATACTGATACAGGTGTGCTGACACGATCTGAGCTAACCACATCTAGTATTCAAATATTGCTTATTTTCGTAAAATAAATGATGCCTTAAAGCAACGGGACCTCAAATGCGTTCACTCAGTTTGATCCTTCATCTGCCCACTTTGTCTTTAGCGGATGAAACGAAACCTTTAGGGTTTTCCATTGTAACAGGATAGCTCAGTTACAATTTAATCTGCGAGACTGCAGCCGACTGTTTTAAAAAAACTCCGTAAAAAGTAGAAAGTCTCCATTCTGACTTCTCTCTCTCCTATATATACGTCTTTATATTAAACATGCTGTTTGTGCAGACAATTTTAGCTGCGTTATATATTCATATCTCACAGTAGCTCTAGCTTTGTTTACTAGGGCCGGCTATTTGGACGTCTCACGACTAGCACTCTTAGAGCAACTTTCTACCGGAGAACGTTAGGACAAAGTTCGATCTTTGAAAGTACGCTAGACGGCTCCGAAAAAAAACGTATGATCCTTGACTAACCTTCGCGATAAAATGGTCGTAAGCCAAAAAGTAATACCGGTCCCAAAAGCCGATGTGAAGATTTGATGAAGTTCGCCACTCTAAAGATGTATTTTGTAAAAAATTAGAACGTCAAAGCAAATTTTCAAGATATGTTTTTGGCAACAAGAGTACTGCCAGCACATTGTTTGCGAAATGTGTCTGATTGCACTGAATGATCATAACCGACTCTTCGTCCATGAAGCTGACAGACAAATAATAGTAACGATAATTATCGTAATTGGATGATTACAGCTGAGGATAGTCCTGCCAGCAGGCGAGTCAAACGTGCCTTACGAGTGGCTAAACTCTCTATGCAACAAGCAAAAAAGATCAATTTCGATGAAGAGTGCTACCTGCACGGCCCGCTGATCCGCTGGCTCCAGTCACACAGTGACCGATGTAAATTTATTAGGGTATCAAAGCAACGATTGTTGGCCAAAAAAATTGTGTATTTTGACTTCGTCGTCAATTCGATCGATCTCAAAATAACCGTTTCAAATAAAAAGTAGTAAAATACAAATTCAATGTCACGCTATGTTACATGCTACGAGATTCTACATTACTATTCAAATATAATTACTCTCTAATTACTGACTTATAAAAAAAAAATACATTTTTAAATAGAGTAAGTAAATTAAGTGAAATGTTATACGTTTATTTGTATCTAAATTGATTAAAAAATTTACAATTGTATTTAATCACCGGAGCTATGTTACAATCTAAACATACCATGGCGTTAGATGTGAAGGCTAAAAAATATACTTACGAAAGCCTTGTTTGGATCTAGACTCGCCAAGGATCCGATTCTGGGTAGATCCTCCGTCATCGTTCGAAAGACGCTTTTAAACAACAAACAAGTTTTTTTTAACAGATGTAGAATATTGGCACAAAATCGTGATGCAGATAGCATGATTACAAACCACTCTGTCTATCGGTGAGGCCATAAAACTAACGCCTGAAACAATTTTCTGGTCGAATTTCATTCCCGCTAGTTTCCAGAAAAAGATATATGCAATGCTTCAGGATCTATATATGAATCGAGCGGGGCGTTCCGAGTTGCCGCATAAGTGCTTTTTAAACTTATCATTACTATTATCTCCACCATATGGTCAATAAAACTGTATAATGCTTAATCTTTAAATTCCTGGTTACCAGCCAGTCAAGTAGAGATCTTCTCGTGACCGCTAAAAAAATTCTAATGGGGTCCGTGTTACCCAGCGTCCTGACTGTCCGGATAGGTCGATCTTATGGTCACGTTTTTGCCGAAAGGACACATGTGACGTATTGATTTTTTGCAAGTGCCAGCTTGTTTTAGTCGATTTCTTCGCGCATTATGCTACTGTTTCTTCGTGGTTCAATTATTTCAAACTAGTTTGGTTTTCTTGGATTATATAAAATGTAGCCCAACTCCCGTCGTTTCTGCGTACACCGCTACGGAACAAGACGGTAAAACATCAATAATAGTACAAGCGGCTGTTGAGCCTTTTTCAAACTGGTAAATAACACTATCGGCAACAATGTTAGATTCATTCGTAACATCTCGTCTCCACTTGATAGATGCATTTTAATTAAGATTAACGAATAAATAAGATTAAAGGAGAGGAATTTAACATTATATATGATTAGCAGATCTGCTTACAAACAAAAGATTTTTGCTTCTACCGAATTTTCCACACATATAGCCATTTTCTAGAAAACGAATTTCGAATTCTGGACGCGTAAGTACAGGCGCCACAGATACATAATTCAATCTGTGTATATATGCGAGCACGTGAAGCTAGGTATTTCTAGTCTAGCGCACTTTCTGTTTGTTTGCCGATGCACACCCGGTAGTTGAGCTAAGTGCTAAGTTATCGTAATGATTTACTGAAGCACGACCTCTATACTATCTCTATAAACAATTAACGTCAGATTGACATTTCATTAGTCGAAAGAACGTTTCGATCTGTAAAAGTAATTGTCTATATGATTGTTTACGTTTTCCTGCGTAGATAGGATCTTTCACTTTTTCTTTTCCTCTATATTATTAATTGAGACAATTAGTAATTAAGTTCGTCCTTTGATTTCGCCTGTTTGATCAGTAGCTAATATAAATGCACTGCTATAATACTGCTACGGCTCTACTACCGTACGATAGTAACGTCACGGTAATATCGTTACGCTAAGACAGGCCAAAAAAGAGAACTGCACGACTTAATGCACGATACGAAATACGGGGTGAATGCATTTTATTCTATGTGCTTCAAGACGGTACTGATCGGGAAACAAGCATCACTGCCGATCGGTGCATCAACAAGATGATCAAAGCGTTTGCATGCTTACCTAATCCAGTCCGATACGTCCATATGTAGTGACGCGGCATAATTTGCACAGTGCTTTGCTAATATCAGTTCGTGGGCTTCTCTATCTGTCGGTCTCTCAGTATGTCTTCGCTGCTGGCTAAAGCTATAAGGAAAGAAGATCATCGCATTGATAGACGTAGTAACGGTCTAACCCGCTCCACAGGAGAGGGACTCCGCTCACTCAAATGCTTAGAGCAAACCAAAAGGCAATGGTCATTCAACGCAGTCCCCTTCGTACACCATCGGGTCTTTCTACGACTGACATCAAGATCGTTGCTCCGTTTAAATGGCGATTACCAGGAAGACTAATGTTGATTTTCAGTAACCGAAATACGGCATGATAGTTGATATGGAAAAGTTCTTGGTCGAATCTAACAGTTTCATAAGCCTTATGATCTTATCTCTGTCGCTCGAGAAAAGCGAAATTTATCGACGTGATCACTTTCAAGCAGTATTGCGTACTACATAGATCGCCATAGAAACAGTCGAAGACTATTTAAGGTAAGGTGAAACTGAAAAGTGTATGGTTAAGCTTCTCGATGCTGAAACGAATAGGTAAAACATCTATATGCGAAGTTTCGATAAATACCGCAAAAAGTAAGCTGAACGGATTAATCACCAACATTTTTGACATCAGGTCTTAGTGATGACTCGAAGGAGGATAGAAGCAATACGTCGGTGAAGGCTTATTACCTTACTTAAATGCCCAGTATACCAACACTTTTTCCTTAAGTCTATAAATACGCGCTAGTGGTTTTGCGAGATTCCAGACCAAGATAAGGTGGCGCCTTAATCGTCGACCCATTTATATGATTAAAAACATTAGGCAGTAGACGGAAATCTATTCCTCTTGAGCATTGGTCACTACGTACCTTATTGCGCTCGGCTCAAGAAGCAGTTGACAGTGGGATATTGAGGACAAACACACATGTCATTATGTGAGTACAAATTAAGTCATTAGAAATAATATTACCCTCTGAAAACCTCGTTTACCAAAAAGCATCTTAAAAGTATCTGTAAACGTGCGGCTCAATGTGTTCGGCCTGTTTTGGTAGAATACAATTGTCTAAAGGCGGTATCGACGACAAAAAAAAGTGGGCATAGTAAAATCACTTCAATAAAAAGCTGCATCTTATAGCAGTACCGCGTACTAAATTTCTCTATACGCCGTCGAGTATAAGCTCCGGACCACATCGAAAATTAGATACCATAGAACCATTCGGCTATTTACCATAGGACACACGTCCCTTGACAGCAAATCAAAGCAATCAATTTTTGACGACCTCAGCGTTCAAATCTAGAAAAGGACTTAAGAGGAGCATTTACGTCACGGCTTGTCGTTGCCACTAAGGCTATCACGAACATACACATATACAATTAATAAACAATCCCCTCAAGAGTAATTATCTCAAAAAAAGATAAGTCCCAGATGTGGCCCAGTGTGCATTCCTCTGCTATCCACTCTTTCCAAAAACATTCATAGATTTATAGTTTTTTTTATTGTAAAGAGACGTCTCTATACATGTAGGCATCTCTTTCACAATTCCATAATCGAGTAGAAGTTCGACAACTTGGTTCGTATCGAAACGTATTTAATCCGTTTCCAGAATATTGAAAGAACGGCAGTTCTTTCTGGCGTACTTAGGATTTACTAAGCGGTCGATTACTATATATATATATATATATATATATATATATTTTTTTTTTTTTTTTTTTTTTTTCTGTTCAGTACATTTAGAGCAATTGCGCGCAGTGTTAGGTAACGGCATACCGTCTTAAATTGCATGCATATAGGAGAATGAAGCTACGCGTTGCATACGAACGAATTCTCTTCTAGCAGTTGCGTTTTTTTTCTAGCTGATCAGTTTTTAAAATATGAAAAATAACACAAATTAGTAAATGGATCATGTTCGTGGAAAACAAAACTTATTTGTATTAGTATATAAAATAGACGCAAAGGACTCTATTTGGATTGGAAAGGATTTGGTCGATACAGCCATTATGAAACATAAACGAACTGGGTCCAGCTCGAATATGTGACCCAATATGCTTACTTAGCTCAATTATGAGTCTTAAACCCTACGTAATGTATTCTAGTCACATATCGTTAAAGCGATAGACAAAGCTATCAGAAAATAGCTAGTATTGACGAATGGTACCTTTCGCTACCGCTCAAAAAAGAGGCGGATAAGCTAGACCTTGTTCTAGCAAAGTCGATTCAAGTGTGCTTTGAAAAATTTTATTATTATTATTTAAAGTATCATAGAAGCTCCCTATTAACTAAAATTTTTTGCGTATCACATCTCGCCGTAGTTTTTCTTAGCATATATTCCGTATAGGTTCATAAGTTACAGTGTTCAGCGCACCAATCGAGTACCAATTCTCACAGACTGATTTAGTAAGCCAGTAGATGTAACAAACACGCTGCGTCTTGCTAAATCTATTGTTTACCTATTTTAGGGCTGTTACCAGCCTGAAATGCGGACGCGAGAGCGTATTTACTCTGATCTATACGGTGACTAAATTAAGGGAATCCACTCATGTCCCACTGTTTTCTGTTGGCCCTATCTTTGACCACTAGTCGAATATATCAACAAATGATAGAAAGCGAACTTCAATATTGCCTTATAAGATCTCAACGCTTTATTGCAACGGGAACTAGTTCTATATATATATACAAGTCCTTCATTGTTATCAGTATTACTTGATCTTGTTTTCTGCCCTTCACTACATGTATAGTATGTGATACACCTATTCCGTGGCGTTTCTATATTGCACTCACTATATGACTACAAAATGAATAATGGACCAACCGACATCCTATAGTAACAAGGAAAAATTAACTCATGACAGCAGATTTCATCTTATCACCATTATGCGCGCCACACGATGCTTGACTAAGCCATTTTTTAAGAACCTCATGTCTTGCTTTTTGCCACAGCAAACCATGACGGGACCTGCGACGCTCATGGCTTGATAATGTGCATTTGCTCAAGTATATAAATTGCAGTAATTTGCTCACGGTATATATATATATATATATATATATATAAGCGAAAGTCGTTTGCAGATATGTCAGTGAACAAACTGATGTGGAAAAGGGTAGCTGCAAAAATTAACGGCAAGACTCTTCGTCATCAATCGTTCCCATAGGTCCTCCTCAATCCAATAGCCTGAAAAACAGTCTAGGCCTATTTGAATACTAACTAGACTACCAATAGGACCGGGCCTAAGAACAATTATATTATTGTTCTAATCCTTTTTCTGCGTCGAAAACGTTAGGTGTACATTTCATTATCGGATGTCTAGATCGTCATCATCTTACACTTCACGGTTCTAGATCAGGTCAGGTCGGGTCGGGCCAGGTGACCTATTTTCGGGAAATATTATTCGGGTATTAATAATTAATTCGAAACGACTAAGAGCTTATATATTACTACAGATTATGTTAGCATATAAGTGTGCACCGAATCATATATATGTATATAGTTGTTTGTGATAAGATCAGCTATCATTTGTCTGAAAATGCGACTATCTAAAAAACATTTTCGTAGCTACACGAGCATATAAACGTCTATGGATTAGCAAAGGGAAACAACGAAGTGTATCTTTTTCAAATAAACAAATTTTATAACGAAATAAAGAACTCGTGCAGAAAAATGGACGAAAGAAAAACGAGCGCAAAAACTTAGGACGTAGTCGCAATTGTTCTAATGTGTTATTAGGCATAATTAGGATAACCATGGAAAGCATTTCCCTTTCGTCGTGTTGTTTGCTTTGCGCTCTTTGTTTTTCCCGTACCAGTTCCATGCCGAGTATTACAATCGTATAAATGTTTAAAATAATGTCAAATCAATCTTCAAATCTTATATTCCAAGGCCTCATGCGTGATATTGTTTTTTCTTTGTCTCCATGATCGACTTACTCACGCATGCCTGCTGGCTTGCTTTTCACCAGGTGTACCTAGGGTGTCAACTGATTACCAAATAATCACCACTTAAATTTCTAGATCTCATTTTCTATGCTCCTATTCATATACTAGGTTGCTGGATTCCTATACTAGTAACTGCATTTGCCATTGTTTTTTCCTTCTTGGATGTATTTTGAATTTTCTATTCAAAGCAGAAAAGGACCCGCTATATGTGGTTCTATTCAAAGCGAAGGTTTTTTAATATCGATACATGTACGAAAACCAATCATTTTCGTACTATCAATAACTATAATTTCGTACTAAAATACTGTAACCTAATAAATCTAACGTCGCTTTAGACGAGCTAATAACGAGCTTTTCGCTTGTCTAGAGACTCTATGAATCAGCACGAACTCGTTTGTCTTAGAGTTCACTTCATAGGTAAAAGAGTTGTTTCTAATTCATTTCAGCCGCAGAATGGTTGTTCTGTGTTCCAGCTAGAGGGTAATTACTCTGCTGATCACAATCGCTCTATCTAGATCAAGATCAAAGTACCAGCTTTCACAAGGGCCTTGACTGACAACGCTTATGACTCCGTCGGCGTTATGTGGTGTACTTTCCCAGCTGTCCTATCCTGTTCCTATCTTACGCGTTTGTATACACGCCGATGGTTTGATGACTCTGATGCATACACGCGATTAATATAGATTCGCTCACTTCATATTGTATCTTTCCACCGTTACGTACTTCGACAAGACAGATTTTTATCGACGATAAGCACCGTCACACTAGTCTGATTAGAATCCCTGTTTTCAAACATACTTTTTTCGCCCTTGCCTCGTTTCTTTCACCCTGAAATCCTTCAACTGTGTCTTATATATCACTAATTTGACTTCGTTGTGAGGTACAATTGCACCACTCCTTCAAAGCAACACGCTTCCACCATCACTGCGGCAACTATACCATCTTTATAACAATTCAACTTGATACCATGCGTTGTCATCTTCGTCATTTAATAAGTTACTAGTCTCTTCTCTAGTGGCGCGTCTCAGGCTCGACCCTATCCGCTTCCGCATATTCGAAAACCATTGCATTTTAAATATGGCAAGCATTCTCGTCACCAGCACACCTTTATCGGCATACTCATCATTAAAGGCGTGTAACAATTGCTGATCGTGCCAACTTAAATTGCTCAGAATAAGGAATAATGCTACTTTTTGAAAATATTGTCGCTTGCGGTATGTGCCATATCCTACTTACCAGATTGGGATCACGTCTTATGCTTTTTTATCATTTAAATCAATACCTTATCCATCGTCTTCCCGCATGTGCATAACCATCTGTTTTAACATACATAAATCGATTTTGTTTATCTGTAAATTTATTAACCCGTCACTACCTTCATACCTATTTAACCTTTCGACATCGTTGTTCTTTTATAGAGTTCGAAATGATGATAAAGCGCCTGAGTAATAGAGTATGAGGACTGCTAATGCCGCAAAAGTCCAGAGGGCTCCGTTTCCGTCTTGAAGTTCATGTTGCATCGTCGCCGTTTCGAGGCCGAGAGGAAATCTTGCGCAAGAACTTCTACGATAGTGCTTGGAGCAGTCGTCAGCTGTTGAACAACTGCCTTGTGATGACATTTTCTCGGTAGGTGACATCGGCGAACTCATACGCACGGATCGGAGTTTTGGGGTAACTGCCCCAGTGGGACTTATCATCTGGCCATTTTGAGGTGCTATGATACCTATTGAAGGTGATATCAACGGTGTTAAAGTGAAGCCGGATGCTAATTGTCAGTTTATTACGTTACCAGATACAGTCGATGAATGAAGGGTATTAGCGCTTATATTTGGATTAAGTGGGAGTGGTCGTGCACGAATAGGGCTGCTGAACAGGCCTAGCCGTTGGCGCTGTTTGCGATTCTCGGATAGCTGCATCCATGTGATTGAACGTGAAAAAACGACGGGAATAATAAACGTTAGATTTTTATTTGTTAAGGCACACATAACATAACAGCAGCAACAACAACAACAACAACAAATATGCATGCATTTGACGATTACTCTTTATTATTTGGCCAGTGACAATCGATTTGAACTCTTGAAACCTTTGCTTTACCAGCATTTGAAACGAGAAAAATGATCCGAGCTCGTTCAAGCTATGGATTCAATCATGCATGAAGACTTCCATCGCAACGCTAATCACAAGAATAGAACAGACTAATTAGAGTTGTTCAACAATAGGACCTTAGGTCCTATTTCAAGATACAAGGCATTAGAGTTGCTAGCAGCAAAGTTCGGCGGCAGTAGCAGCATTCAGAAAATGTTTGTAGTCCAGTTTAAAAATACGTTTACAGTTTCGAAAACAAACACATGCCCTTGTACAGACGTGACTACATTAGCCATACGCACACGGATATGAATTAGTACAGCATCAGACCAATCACCGTATTACCCACTGAACCATACAATCCAATAACGTTTTAGTGGGCGTCATCATCTTCGAAGCCGCACGTCGCTAGCCCTCTTTGCCGATTATTTGGGAGCTCATCCTTGGAATACGTTTAGCAAAAGGCCCACAAACGAATAGATGTACTCTAGGTTTGAAATAGCCACGGATGCCTGGTTACAGAACCATCGGCTTACGCCCGAAAAACATCATTCCATTCGGAGTATTTCGCTGTATCCATTTTCAGAGTATATCTGGCGTGCAAAGGGCTCTTGTAGGCCGAATAGTTTTCCTGAGACCGTTGGCGGATGGTCTAGCTGAGTGCCCATAACGGCCCAATCGTACCTTTGCCACAATTGATAACGCGTCGGCCTATTGATGAATAAAATTAACCGCGCATCACTCGTACGATACTCACTCAACATTGACACTACGTTCCGTTTGCCTAGTGCGCAAGCCTCAGCGTTACGTGAACGCTTGGAACGCGTACGTAAAATTAGATGACTTCAACATGATTAGTATAATTAATAATAACGAGAAGGTACCAAGCTGTTATGTTGACAAAAACGCTTATCTAGTTATCGATCGATTTTTTTTAGTTTATTAATAGTGTTCAAAGCCTGTAGCTTTTTTGAGATTTCCAATTGAACTTAGCAAAACCTTACCACGATTTTCATCCGAAAAAGGAACTCAATTCACCTGTTCTTTGACATCGTTGAGCTGCTGAGTAACCTGCATAAGAAGCTTCTGAGTGTGGTCTAGCTGAGTTTGCATAGCTCGCATTTCGTTTTGTTCAGTTTCAGCATCGTCTGCTGCAAGTGACATGGCTCTCATACGAGGGAACCAATCTAGGTTCCTTTCGCGGATCATCTGTGCCACATAGCTTTCAGGACCGGTGAACTCGGTGGGATCTAGGGCGATTTTATAGCAGAAAACATTTTAAGAAGGTTCATCTAACCAGAGACAAACTTAGCTTAATTCTAACAGCAGAGGCGGTTTCGAATAAAGTGACTAACTGATTCAGGCTAATATCGAGCGCTGTTCTATTAAGCTAATCGGAACGCCAATGGAAGCTATCCTTTAACGAATACAGTATTAAAAGCTCTTACCTTTCACTTTAATAAGAACAATATAATAAAGATACTGCCAGAGATTATGTTCGCCTCGGATGTGCTCCTCGAAGCTAACGCTCTTGTTGTCAAATGCTGCCCTTTCAAGACCGCAAATGAAGCAGGTGTTCTTGAGCGTCTCCTCTTTTTGTTGTTTCTCTGAACGTAGGTCGGCGAATGTGTCGATGATAACACCAAAAATCAGGTTTAGAACTATAACAATAACAATAAAGTAGAACATCAGATCGTAGACGACGCGGAAAAAGTAGAGTGGCTCTTGACTGCTTGGCGGCCGTAGGACATCGCCAATTCCTCCGCCGTTTCGAAGGCCATGATTCAGCGTTGTAACAATACACATGAAGAGGGTGTCGCAGGCCCGTTCCTTCACCATCTCGTCCTCTTGCTCGGCTACCGCTGCCGTTTCCCTGTCAACATCTTTTGGCGACTCTTCATCCGAACTTGTTGAATCCCTAGTGAATCGAATCCGATCTGCTTGCTGTGCTCGCCGGATTGCGGACATGATTGTGTGGGTGATGTTCATGCTACAGTCGGGCGGCTCACTCGCCTGTTGTCGGACACAGAAACTCGTATCGGCGCGCAGATTCTGTAAATAGTCTGATTCGATTTTATCCGCAGTGTTAGCTCGTATCGTTGCTGATTCCTGTGCAGCTTGCTGTGCTACTGACGGAGGTGGTGTGGTTAGATACGGCGGCTGTGACTCGGTCGATAGCGGTGAGCCCATCATGTGGTTGTCTTGGGGGTTATCCACTTCGATCAGAAAGTCATCGCGAAACCAAAGGAAGGCGACAATAGAGAAAAGATAGACAAGAATAAGTGCAAGAACTGCCGTGAGCAGGATTGACCTGCCATTTCTCGTCGCCGATTTTATCACATTCAAAAGCGTCTCCTCCTGATAGACCACGTCGAGCAGCAGTACGCTATAGAGTAGCGGGTGGACGCACAGGCCCGAAACACACACGGCCAAATAGCCGACGTGATAAAGTAGTTCAAAATCGGAGAATATCTGGGTGGCGCTCTTGCTTAACGTACCGTGGTTGCCAATAATGGACGCTAGGTGTACGGCGCTAAAAGCTACATTACAGGCACCCAGTAGCATTAGCGTCGGATACAGCCCCATTGAATACATGAGGCGTATGACGAGGGCCACGGCAAATGCTCGCACGGACGCTGTCCGTGGCGCCAGAAGGAGCAAGGCGAACGTGACTAGAAGCAGTAGCCAGCTCGGGCCCGCCATTCGCGGCGTCAGTTCTGCCGCCTTTGAAAATGGGAAAAATATCGCGACGAGGATATTGATTAGCACTGCAAGATTGAATGAAATCGTGCTCCAAACTGTCATGTGACGAGATACCCAATACAGCATCGACTGGCTTCGTAACTTCTTCTGCCATTTCATTTCGTTAAAAAGCTCTTCCGATTTATCGAAAAAGTCCGACACCTTTGAGCCCTGCTCATCCCGTTCGGTAGTATGGTAGACGGCCGTTTTCGTCTCACGGGTGAGGAACTCGCATAACTGTGGAACAGGGAAAACAATTTGTTCCATCGAACGGTCCTGGCGTACGATTTCGATTTGAGCTGTGTGGCTGGCGTAGTATTTCAGTGCCTGACACACTTTTGGGTCCTGATCTTGTTCATTGGGCTTGAGTAGCGCTGCCAGCTCACGATTGTGCTGGGCCAGTTGATGGCAGAGGATATAGATGTTGTGTCCGACCTCTTTTGGTGACACTCCCAACTCGTCCGTGACAGCATCGCCGTCCCCGTCGGCGCCACTCTCGAGGTCAAAATCCTCGAGGTCGTCTTCTTCATCCTGATGATATGCGTTACACGCCACATCTACCAGTTGCTTTGGGCTCATGTTGTAGAGTATACGCTCAGCGTTCTCCGAATCTGCTCCTCGACTTTCCATAATAGCCAAAAGCAGTTTGGAAGCATTGTTCTTCAGCTCAAGAACAAGATCCATACGCTTCTTACCCAGAGGATTAATGTCATTCAGAATGAGTGCAATGATAATGTCGATGCCGTTCGATTCATGCATTCCTATGCAGTTCTGCAATAGAAAACAGAGCAGAAAATCAGCTTCAGTCAGTGTCACACTTCTAGAAATACTTTTATCGGCAAGGCGCTTAAGGAATATACTAGAACAATATAATACATTTTTTTTTCTGTTAGCACCGTTTTTTTTATTGTTGTTAACCTGGTTGTCATGACAGGGTCCCTGGCAGTATTCGGTGAGTGTCTCCAACGTCTGATTGACGAGAGCAACGTTACTCTCATTAATATATAATCCCAAAAGGCCAAGGCCGCCCGTTGTCGAGCCGCAAATACAGTCCAAGAACATAAGTGTTTCCGACACCTGCCCATATGGATAGGTTATTTAACCATTAGTACTTGGTAGAATTCTCAGAATCTCAGTTTAGACACTGCTACCTTAAAGACGGATCAACAACATTTAATACAATAAACTAAATGTAGACTGGCAGTACCGTAGTCAGTATATATCGTTTAAAAGTGAAGTGCCTTGCGTTGAGCATATGAAGTATGAAAGCAATATTTTCAAATTAACACGGAAGAGGTAATAGTAACCCCTTGAAGTTCACAAACTGCTTGCCTTCAATATCTAACCAACTGAGACACAAATGCTAGGGAATACTTTAGCAATCACCGCAGGATGTATGAAACAGCACGGAGAAAGTGTGCCTAATTAGTACTCACCAGATTGAAGTTTTGTTTATTGCTCTGCGAACGCAGGTAATTTTGTAACGATTGATTGTGATTTTCGCACAGCAGCTGTAAGAAACGAAGAATTGGCTTCATGACAGCTATTGAAGGGTGCAGAGCGGGCTCATCCTCCACACCGCCAGTGCCTCGTTGACCAATTCCAGCTTTTCCATCGGCCTGCTCTTCACTTGGAGACATTTGCACTACAACAGTATAGCGAGAGAGAGGATGCGATAGAGCGGAAACGATTGATTGAACGAGTGATGTTTTGGCTTAACAATGTTGTTTTTCTATACACGAAATCAATAGATTTGAATTTCTAGAGTGAACGAGGATAAATTCAATATGAAATGTTCTCCCATAGTGGAAGCGTACCAAAAAAACGTACCACCAAAGAAGTCTGTAAGCATAACAGGGATCACAGTGTTCTCAACAGCGTTAATTATATGGTCGGCGGTACTAACCGTAAGCGTTCGTGTCGTTGTCAACCGCAGCACCTACTCCAGCGACGGCTCCGCTCTGTCGAATTTGTTGATATCCTTTCGATGTATCCTGTGCAGCCTCCTCTAACTCTTGTTTCAGTTCTTCGTTAACCACTACTTTCCCATTGGAAATGGCCACTGGAGTGCTCTTTCTGTCACCTGCATTTAGACACCGACATGACTTCTATTTAAATCGATCTTCATACCTTCAGCTGGATGAGATGGCTGTTTGAAAATAAGCGTTAGCTAGCATAGCCAGCCAGCGTGACTGCAGCTGGATTCGAAATTACTCATTAATTACTAATAATAATTACTATAATAATAAAATAATAATTACTAATTAATTCGAAATTACGAAGTTACGATCGATTAACAATATGTGCACGTTAGATTCAAGCACGACACACGAACCAACTCCACCTTTAGAATCTTTGCCACTCGTAGTTGAATTGTTCGTTTTGTGTACGTCAACGGTGGATACCATCACCGTATTTTTAATCTCCTGTTGAGCCTTCGCGAATTTCTCATTAAACACCTACATAATAAAAAAAACGCGTGAGGATTATAATGTGTGATTTCTAAGTGTTCATGAGACGCGCGAGTAAAATCAAAGCCAACATCAAACGACTACCAACGTCGGATACGGTCCGACGTAAAGAACTGACCTTGAAGAATTTCTCTGAAGAATTTCCTGACATGAGCTTTTGCAGCACAGATTGTTGTATCACGTTGTTTCCGCCTTCCAAAAGTGCAATGCCTAATTCGACACTCTCAATGAAGATTTTGTGTGAAGGGTTTTTCATAATCAGCTCTACAACAAGGTCAGAAGCGCCCTCGTGGTCCAGGTGACATTGTACCTCTGTACGACTGTAATCAATGACAACATTCTTTACAGCCTGATTGTCTTCATTCAGTCTTCAGTCTTCAGTCTTTCATTTCATACATTCACATTCGTCTTCCTTTCTATAGTCAACAAATTCACATACATTATGAAACGAAATATCTGGATTTAATTAATAATATATGTGATCTTAGATCTTCAGAATCTCTCTTCAGTCTTTGTACCTGAGCGGCCTTGAAGCGAATGACAGGGACGTTTTGGCTACTCCGATGGCGCTGCTCCCTGACGATCCTCCCCGGTCTCCAGGCCCACTGACTTTACCCCCTTTAGAGCCTTTTCCACTTCCCGTAAGAGGTCGTTTGCCGAAGTAACGAACCAGAAGAGCCTCGCGTAACTGTTCGCCCTGTTGCAGACGACCCACGAAGTATGCATATATTAGTAACACTCCTTGCGGGGAAAAAATACGCTGATTCACAGAAAACATCTATAATCATGTTATAATGCAATTAATATATGATTACTAGTACCAAAATCAATACGATTGAATTGAAATTAAACATGCCATTGTTATAATTTAGTCATCGGATGTTAATTGCTTATCTAAGCACACTAGTTAGGCCTCCCAAACGGAAAAATTTCCACCTGTATTTACATGAATATATACATATATATATATATATATATATATATCTATGTCAGTCTTAAGGAATCAGCAACTTCTCCTATATTATGACGGTTTTCTACGGAAATGGACCCGCGACTTTTCGAACAAATCAGCGCAACGATTTGCCCCGTGAATAATTACACACATAACATAACAGGAGTTAAAGCCAATTATCTGCCAATCGTTCATCTCACCCGCTTAATGTCGAGAAGCTCTCTTTGTGTCAGCAGCTTCTGGTCGATCTATAACGTGGTCATAATATTACGTTTGAGCGTGTTACAGACACCATTTGCAGACAATCCATGGCAGCGTGAAAGTCGTTAGTCCGATCAATCACAGTATTTCTGAATTATCACAGCGAGATAACTACCAACTAGCATGCACGATAAACTAATCTTGTGCAATCTGTGATCCGATTTGATCGTGTGCAGGCAAGATATAATCTCAGTGGTCAACTGCTCCAAACGAGAAAGTAATCATGAATGATTCTTTTCTTATTGATTTATGTACTAATCCAGTTTACGCCTGTTAGGTGATTACCTTGTCTCCATAATCTGAGTCGAGAGACGACATCATTTCCCTGAGCGTTTGTAGTACGCGCACGCAGAGCTGCTCTTCCTTTTCTTCGAGAAGGCGTTCCGTGTGCCGGATCAGTCTTGAAATGAAGCCTCCGGAGCCGCACCTGAACAACACGCCAACATGATTATTAATATCAACGATAACAACATTGTCGCAAGTGACAATAGTGGTGTTCCGACAATAAGCTTGGCGATCCTTCGATGGCCAGTTCAGTCTGTCGCAGGCACACTGTTAACAATAAGCGCCGCAATAACACCAGCCGAAAAGCAGTCGTTGAAAATGTCAGGCTAACTATAAAATGTGGGAAGAACGTAATGAACTAACTATTGCTAGACGATTACTAAAGGACAGTAGAAGTTGCTGTACGGCTGTTATTTTTACGTACCTACGTCGTGCGTCTGTGTTCGCCGGGAATAGCAACTCCGGATGGTGGAGAACATCGACCAAAACGGACAACTCGCTCTGAACCAGAGGTCGCAACTGATCTTCCAAAACGCCGACGATTTCCTGTTAACGAGGAGCAGCAAAGCCATTAGATTATAGAAAAAAAAGAGTAAATTTAATGCGCCAATTGTTCGTGTAAAACTTATTGATGGCAGGTCCGTAAAATCACCTCATTGACCTTGCTACGAAGAATATAGTCTACATGATCTGGGACTTTTTTTTATGATTACCGACCTGAAGGACTTCTATGATCGTGCGATCGCTCGGAGTCGCCTTCGAACTATAGGTCGGTGGGCTTGTTCTCCTGTGAAGGTAGCATAGACATTGGAACTGTCAGTAACTTATTGAGGTTATTTATAGTAGAAAGACGAAGCGACAACTTATTCGAATCACATGCATCGTATGACGATGTAGGCCCGAAGCAGGTACACGTCACCGTAGCACACGAAATCCTTTTTCAGGACGGACCGACAACTTTATGCCGCATGAGGTCAAGTGACGGCTGTTTTGCTACGATTGCGATTTCACTCGCTTGCGTACCATCGCCCTTATTGGGCGTTTGTTGTTCAAAAGATCATGAGTTTACCTGATAACCCCCTCCTGTTCGTCCAGCGATTTCGACCTGGGTGGGCATCACCGAAAGCAGCGTGAAATGAAGACGTGTCTTGTCAATACCAATCGTTGACTTTTTGCGCATTACTTCCAAAACGTTGAAAAACAGCTATACGTGAAATAGGTAAACATTTCAACCACCAGATAACCTTATAATACAATGTCGAATTCGTTTGCGACAACTGAAACATAACTATTTCCCTCAAATCTTACAAGTGCAACACAATTTTCACACTTTGCTGCATTTTCTAATGATACCAGGAGTCGACATTTGAATGATGTGTGACTGCTATCTATTTTAGACAAAATCTATTTTAGAAACTACTGCTGCCATTATGTATGTCTTGCGCAGTGTCGCACGCTAAAAACTGAACGTCCATTTGCATAGACTTTTCGGCACTACCGTACGTGTTTCTTACCTATCGAAACTTTTGTTGGCAACCCCCGCAAGGCTTGCGCTGTTGCTACACACTGGCGGGCTGGGTGGACGTTGCGAAGCGTCCTTTCGTGTACGAGCCACCCAAGCACGCGCCTGCTTTGACGCGGCTGCGGTTTTATCGAATAGCGATGCTACCTGCGATTCCAAATCCACTGGGACCGCGATGCTACGTTTTTTAGCTGAACTCGCCAAGCAATATGCAAATGACCATCAAAAGTCACATTTACCTTTATGGTAATATAATGATTCTGTAAGTGTACGAAACTAGTTAACAGTGTAAATGTACTATAGATAAATTGTCTTTATTTCTGATGAGAAGTTACCATATAGCCAAGCACCTATTGCTGATGACCCAGCTAAACACACATGAAAAAAATAAACTAAAATTACATGTTAATGACGATGGTGCTTTAAATATGCGACAAACGGATCTTCTTACCGATATCCCAGAGCGTCTTAATGCAGGTTTCAATATTCATCTTCTGTGGAACGCTGACCCATCCCGCCTGAGTGAGATCGTGAGCTGCGCGCATCAGTTGGATGAAAATCGTCTGGTGTGTCTGCAAACAGATTTAGAATTATGTAGATGTAGTTTAGCCTCGTAAAGCCTCGTCATTCTGCCAATGAGTTACGATGCAAGAACATGTTAGCTTGAAGTGCAATAATTCTGTTCCACTGTAATTTAATAATTCTAGCGTTCGATTATCACTACAGATGAGCTAAATACAATTATTAAGGGAAATGAGATCCGAGAGATCTATACCCTGACCCCTGCAGACTGCTCTGAGAAGGGAGAATTAAAGAACGTCGTGACAATATTCATCACCGACGATGTAATGTAGTTCTCGAGGAGCGGGTCGTCACTGCAGAGAGAAATAGAGCGAAATGAAAAGACAAACGTTATTCAAGTCACTACCGTAACGTGATGTTGCCAGCAAAAGGTCAAAAACACCGGATAACATAAAACAAGCAGGTGTACATTGCAAATACTATATAAATAGCTCTGATAGGAATGATTTCTGCGTCTTGAAGGATAACCTCGAAGCACAAGCTAGTGTACACGATAGAAGCAATCAAATAGAAACTCACTTCTTGTAAGTTTTAGCAGAGATTGTCTCAATGTCTTTAAGGAAATTTTCGAACAGCGTCCAAATATGGTGACTTGTGTAAATCTCTTTCATTTCAACCTCAGTGTCGATGAAGCAATGGGAGAGGAAGTTGATGTATGCTTCCTTCACTTCGGGAAGGCAGCATTGATGCGTGACCACGTGTACGATATCATCCAGCGATAACAACGAAAGGCACCTGATTTCTGTTTGGCCATTCTTGCCTACACAACAGAACGTATAGGATAGCAATGGTCTTCATTCATTTATTGCAATTCTATTCAACTCCAAGGTGTGACATCGATAAAAGTACACCCTAGAACAGTAACTAACATTTCGCGTGAAGTTTTTAGCCGATGCGCTATATAGTTATCAATATGTAAGCCATAAACATAGGCCATAAATAGTTTAAATACGGCCCAGAGGTAAAGTCTACTAACCAGCGTAATTTCCTAGCAATTATTTATGATGGCGAGTCCCACTTACCTTCGGTGCATGCAGCCAACAACTTTACCAGTTGTATGTGGTAGCGAAGCATGCCACCGTCGTCGTACCGCACTGACTTGTCATTCATCATTGCGACCAGTTGGCGAAACGAAGACTTATCATTGTAAAAGATGAGAGCCTCGTCCCCCGCATTCACTAGCTGTTGAAGAACAACAGTAAATCGACGCTTCACATGTGAAATTTATTCCGCACGCGTAGCGATTAGGTATAAATTAAACTCACTAACCAGCCCGTTTATACTCTGCTTCATCCATATTCGGTCACATTTTAAGGTAACGAACAGAGCAGTTCAGGGAAGGCTGCTTCGCTACTTGAAAGTTAAGTAATGCAATCTTCTTACCTCTTGCATGACCATGTCTTGGCACTTGCGGTTGTACGTCCCCTCAGCTTTGACAATCGTTTGCAAAAATTTCAAATACTGAACGTGTTTGCCATGTGTTTCAATGAGGTGCACGAAGTGTTGAACTACCCGCTCTGTCACATCATTACAAAGCGCCATATTGTCTTTAAATATGGCGCACATGGTCTGAGCTTCCAGTAACTGAAAGAATGGTATCACGTAACGAGATTACCGTAGTTAACCGTTAGTTTTTTCAATATCTCATTAATAAAAATCAGATGAAGTAAAATTATGCTACTATTAAACCAAATTGCAATGTTGAAGCTGTTGACCATCATTAAAAATTCTTTGATATGGATATGTTTATTGGGAGGATACAGTAATTTACTGGCATCCAACCATCCTGTAGCCGGATGTTTTTTGGCGTTCCGAATAGGTAGACATTGAACTAGTATATATGCGCGGAGGATCGTAGTCAATGTCTTCATTCGATCGACTTCGTACGTTAAGAAACGCTCGTGAGATTAGTTCTAAGCAGCGCTGCCAAGCTCATACATAACATTGTCACGAAAGAAACATACTCCAGGGTTCAGAAATAGGTCAAGCCGTTTGTGCAGCAATTGTTGGTTATGGTGATTTCCTCGGCAAAAATGTTGAAGGAAGTTATGCGCCAGTCGCATGAGTTCTACCATTCTCACATCTTCCTTTTTCTCGAACGGAATTGCCAAAAGATCCAACACAGCTGCTTGGGCGTCCATGTTCCTAGAATGGAAATGTATAGATGTGATATACAGTTAGAACATCCGGCCATATTTGAAACTCTGGGCACTCCTAAGCAGCGTATGTTTGGAATATCCTGGCCTGCTTGACCCCCGACATCATTTTTAAAATTAACCCGAATTGGAAAGCTTCGCTCACGTATTATAATGCCGTGTGGTGAAAAACAAACAGTGATCTATATTGTTGGCAATTCGAAATTGCCTGGGATATTCATAGACTTGTATAATAGTCGAACCCATTGTGGCTTTTTGATAGAGGTCGCTCACCGGAGCAGTCTTTGCTCATGCTTTTTCTTGTTGACATTCGACCCTGATTCCTGGTAACAGAGGTTGGTAAGGCGTAGAAGAATCTGTTGGATTTTTTTGTAGTTCTCCTGTTGATTCGCTTCTAACGGTGGACCCTGGTTCTTATCAATTGGAGATTCTTGATTCGCCGCGAGCAGTTCCTGAATGTAAAATAGAGGTGTATATCGATGTGTGACAATCAGTCAAATTGAAGAATATAATCACAGCTTATAATCTGCTTGTTTCATTTATTTAAATTTTCAAAGTAGAGCTATTTGGTAACGGTTTTGGTAAGTAGAAGTGTTGACCTTACCGGAAAGTACGGAGAGCAGTTTCTTCAATTTAAAAGTTGTTCTTTCATTTCTGCTACCGTGTAGCTCTTACATCTATTTAGGTCAAACCATTTGAATTAAAATTGCAAACATTTGACAACTTAAAAGCTTATAAGGATTTTTTGTAACTAAATCAGATACGTACTCCGTGTATTTCTGGTGTTTCCGGCTGTAAACCGTTGGGGGTTCGAGGTCGTCGGGACATGTTAGTTTCTTCTTTTTTCTCCTCACCATCCTCTTGCATTTTCAGGGGGCCCTGCAATGGGTATCAAAGGAAACGTCCCAGCGGTTTTACCTATCAACTCTTTTACTATCTTCTTACTTAACGAAAGAAATTACCTATAT